TTAAATTTTGAAAACTAAATTAAGCTAATTTAAATTGTAGCGCGCGACCATTGAATTACATATAGGAATTTTAATTCAATGGTTTGGCGTAAGTTATTTATTCTCTAGTTGTGTGAGTCGTTGGTCGGTCAATTTATTTATTTCAGCATATGATAGTGCTGAGATCAGTGAGGAGTTTTATTATGCGTCTACAATATAAAAAATATTGAAAATGTCATATCAAATATAGGGGCTATTATGTAGCGATCCGTAAGAAGGGGATCTAACTAAGATTTCCTTATGAAGTGTTATAATAGGGGAGGAGGGGTTTTGAAATTTATTACGTAAAATATTTTTTATGTAAAAAAAAATAATTTCTTTTTAAATTTATCAAAAATTTTATTTTTTCATGGAAAACACGTATTTCGTATATTTCAGTGCAGATTTATGGAACAAATTATACTGTGTTATTTCACATTTTCATTTTAATTTTATAAACAGTTTATAATAAACTGCGCTATATAAATATAAATAATTGATTGATTGATTGATTAATAGAAAGGGTTTGTACAGATTATGATTTTATTGCAGAAAATATTTTTGTTACGTAAGAAAGTGTTACTGAGAGAGAAAAAAGCAGTTTTTGTGTTACTTAATACTCGAACGGATATAAAATAAAATAAAACCAAACACTGCAACCTACAAATATTTGAGGTTTAATTTGATTGTAATTTTGATTGAAGTTCAGTTTAAAAAAACTAGACAATAATATCCATTTTATTGCCGTGAAAATATTTTCATGAATTGATTGACGAGAACAGAGAATGCCGCAAAAATTTGTGAAAAAACTCATCTTGTTCAAACTGAATAGATCAACGAAGTAATATGCTACACGCCTATTTAAATAAACAAATGCTCAATAAATTGCGTTACGAAATTTCATCAAACAAATAATTCGCGTTGATAAATATTTGACCAGCTCGCCTATATTGATACAGGTGCATGTTTTTTGTCTGGCATTTTGCAATCTATTTTCGTAATTTTAAAACTTATTTATTTTTTGCTATTTTATTGAAAGTTTGACGCCGATAAATTTCATACCAAGATACAAAACAACGTTTGCCCGTCCATGTGCAATTTTTTGAAAATATAAAAATTTCGCAATGAGACTCATTTTCAGCAATCTGTTTGATTCTATCAATACAAATTTATTCGAATTTTAACCAAGGCTCACCATATGAACGAATTTTCTAAAAATATATTTTATATTTTGTTAGATCTGAAAATTTATATTAAAACAGTGAAAAAAGTAGAAAATAAATTTTGTAATAATTGAAATAAAGTCTAAAGCATAAAATCAAAACGCTTATCGTTAAACAAAGAAATCAAGCTAAAGATTAAAATAAAAAAGTTGAAAGAGCGTGGTTCATTTATATCATACCCATATACCAGAATAATAATAATTCTATTAAAACTACTACTTCTACTGCTGCTGCTACTACTGCTACTACTACTGTTACTACTACTACTACTGCTGCTAATAATAATAACAATATAATTATTATTATAAATGGTAACAATTATTTATAGCAGTACCAGAGATCATTTATAAAAAGGCCAATTAAATAAATACTCAAAAAAATATATCAATTGTTGTTTCTAATCTTTAATATTATTATTGTTTTTATCTTTTTTTCAAAAAATTAAGCTTAAGTAGAATTGCGCTAACATGTTAAAAAATTTCAGGTAAATTCGAAAATTGACATTGGGCTTTAATAACGTGAAACATTCTAACACAACGAAGACTTTAAAAACTTTGATGCTCGTTACTACAGACCCTGATTTCCAATTCCAACAACAGTGTTGCTTCCAAAGATCGTCAAGTGTTCGTTATTTCGTAGGTTCAAGATAGCCGATAGATGAACACAACTGCTTCAAACACAAACTTTGTTGAACGTTTATTTGAATAGTGATAGAAACACTAAACTAATCCAAGTAAAACCTGCATAAATCACATTTACGACTTCGCTTCAAACCTCGCTTCAAGCCTTCGCTTCACTGCTTGAAACCTGTCTTTCTCAGCTCGAAACCTGATTGTAAGTCTCACTACGGAGGACCTAGATTTTTAGCTTAGATTTAATTTTTGTTTACAATCCTCCATCCAAAGATTACAAATACAGCAAAGATAACAATAATCAAATAATAAATTATATAACGCTATTTAATCATTCCGGTGTTTGAAGCGCTATTAAACATATGTATGAAAGGTGGTGACACCGACCATTTCAGCACTGCATCCTGTCGGTGTCTGAATTTGGAAAGAAATCCGGAAATATGAATGTTCTCAACAATGCATCTAATTACTTGCATTCATAGATCAAACAATGCTTTTTCTCGGTACGGTTAATGCTAATTTTTACCCACATTATTCCGATCAATTATATATATCATACAGAAATATATTTCCCAATTATTTAAAAAAATTATCGACCAGTTCTAACAATTTTTTCAACAGTCACTAAGTAATGGCAACTAAAGTGCAGATTGTTTGCCTACAAACAATGCAGAAAGAATTTGTCAGTACATCCTTAATGACTGATTCATAAGATTTGTGTTCATTAAAAAGTTTGGAAGCTTATAAATTATTAAAAAATATGTTAGTAAATTTTTTTTAAATACAAGCTGCTTATAATTATGATCAAATAGAATATTTGATCAAACTTCTAATAATAAAAATAAGTTAAAAGCGCGTTCAAATAACCTAATCGATCCCTAACTTCATCGTTGAAAGGAATTCATTCAATGGTTAAACAATACCATACAAAACAGAATGTAGAAGAATTTTATCTCAGCCTGCACTAATGGATGTTAATTTATTATAAATAGTTTCATGTATTTATTATAAATTGTATATATAATATATTTATAATATATTATATTATATATATATAATATATTTATAATATAATATATTTTTATATAACTGGCTTCCCAGGGTGTCATATTCTGCTAGCGTCTTTTATAAATTGGCGCCCAACGTGGGGCCTTGTCACCCTTTTAAAAATCCTCCTCCTCATTAATTTATTATTTATTATTTTAAAATTTCCGACAATTGGCGCCCAACGTGGGGCCTTGTCACCCTTTTAAAAATCCTCCTCCTCCTCATTAATTTATTATTTATTATTTTAAAATTTCCGACAATTGGCGCCCAACGTGGGGCTTCGAATAACAATTTTTCAAGTTATCGAGGTTTCCATTTTACTTTTAATTATTACTTCAGTTTTTGAAGTATCGAATTTCGTTTACGATTGATTTACTGAGTAACTCGTTGTAAAATATAACAATTTTTCTTGTTTTTTTTGCATTTTTATTACATTATCGAGTAATTGCACACATTTGATATTTTGATAGTATTAAGATTTGTATTTGAGTTGCACCATGCCAAATCGCAAAACACATCCTAGGCAAAGTGAGATGCCAGATGAGGAAGTAAATGTAAATAATAGAATTTTTAGTAAAACTAAAGAGTGGAGAGTTAGTAGATTTAATGGCTCAGAAGATATAACTGAGTATTTTTGTCAATTTGAAATAACCGCAAAAGTAAATAAGTGGACATCACAAGAAAAAGCACTATCCCTTTTGCATGCACTAGATGGGAAAGCAAGAGGTGTATTTCACGAATTACCAGATATTGACACAGTCACGTATAACGAGATTAAAGAGCTGTTGTTTAAACGATTTGGACCATCGAACTATTCAGAAACACACGAGTATAGTTTATCGCAGCTTAGATTACAAAAAGATCAGAACATTCGAGATGTGTCCCAGGAAGTTAACAGACTGTCAAGGCTATCCTATCCAGAGTTAAGTAATGCCATGAGAGAAAAGTTTGCAGTAAAACATTTAATTAATGCCATTGGTAATAAAGATATCATGTTTTATGTAAAGGACAAAGAACCAAGAACATTAGATGAAGTATGTCAACTATATGAAAAATATAAAGTTTTATCAGATGATGGCAAGAGAAGTCATTCGAGATCTTTAATTCAGATAGTTCAAGATAATGACGAGTTTGATGATAAGAAATCCAATGTTGTTAAACAGGATGATCCAATTACAAATATGAATAACAAAATAGAAAAATTGTTCAGCATGATTGATGAGATTAAACGAGATAAGTTTGAAACCAGAAATAACAATCAGAGAAAAGATGTTAACAATAAGTTTGGAAATAATAATAATTTAGTCAGAAACAACAGTACGATTGACCAAAGAAAAAGTAATTATCAGCAAAATAACAGAAACTTCAGTCAAGTGAACACTAATAACTTCAGACAAAATGTTGGTAGTTTTAAAAATACGACGAGATTAAATCGAAACGTTCAAACAGTAAAAACGCCCTACAAGTGTAACCACGATAAGGAAGCATTAGTTCATTTAGGAGCTGTATTTAGAAACAAACATTTAAAATGCCTACTAGATAGTGGTGCAGATGTGAATCTTTGTCCAAAGAAATTTGTTGATGATTTGAAAATTTTGAAAAGTAACAAAGAATTGTATGCAGTTAATAACATGGAGTTAATAGTAAACGGAACAATTACACTGCCATTAGAACTTAAGTATCAGAAGATTCTTACAACTTTCTATGTGTCACCAAACGTTGATCATATAATTCTAGGAAAGAATTGGTTATATGATAACAATTGCATTTGGAATTTTAGAAGGAGTAGTGTTGTAATAAACGGAAAAAGTTACAACCTCGTAAAATCTAGACAAGAAACAGATATAAGATGCATTTCGAAAGTTACAGCTGTCATCCCACCCCGCAGTGAAATGTTCATTCAGACGTTTATAGAAAAATCAAATTTGAAGCCTTTAGGACAGAATACAGCATGGTCAACTAGCATAAATAAAATCAAAAACAATTTGTTAACTGCGAGATCATTAATTGATGTCAATAAACCGTCTACGAGTATTAGAGTATGTAACATATCTGATGAGAAAGTTGAAATACCTAAGGATCAAGTAATCACCAAATTACATGAAGTAGTTGTAGTTGATGATGAAGTTCAAGAATCAAATAACAAGCCCACCAAAGAATATGATGAGACTATAAAAACAATAGTTGATGAGGTACATTCCAGTGTCCAAATAATATTCGTGGTAACTTGAGAAAGTTGTTGCTGAAGTATAAAAATATTCTCTCATTAAGCGAGTTTGATTTAGGAAGAACTAATGTAACGCAACATGAAATTGATACCGGAGCAAACAGACCATTTCGCCAAGCATTGCGACCGCAACCTAGAGCACATCTACCAATCATTGACAATTTGTTAGAAGAGATGTTACAGCAAAAAGTTATAGAACCTTGTCAGAGCGAATGGGCTTCTAATTTAGTATTAGTTAAAAAGAAAGATAATTCCTACAGATTCTGTGTGGATTATAGAAAGTTGAATGAAATAACGATTAAAGATGTGTATCTACTTCCTCGAATAGACTCATGTCTCGATTTGTTGTCTGGATCCCAATGGTTCAGTTCATTCGATTTAAGATCAGGATATCATCAGGTTGAAGTTCATCCTAAAGACAGAAATAAGACCACGTTTGTTTGTCATCGCGGTACTTTCAGATTTCCTAGAATGCCATTTGGACTTTGTAACGCTCCTGCCACATTTCAAAGATTAATGGATAATATCATGATAGGATTAAATTTTGAAACCTGTTTAGTTTACTTAGACGATATAATCATATTTAGTAAAAATTTAAACGAACATTTAAAAAGATTAGAACTGTTGTTTCAAAGATTGCACCAGGCAAATTTAAAGCTCAAACCGTCGAAGTGTCATTTAATGCAGAAATCAGTTAGCTGTTTAGGTTATATAGTTAGTGATAAAGGGATCGGAACGGACCCAATTAAAATTACAGCAATCAAAGATTGGCCAGTACCAACTACACTGAAACAAAGTAGAGCATTTGTAGGTTTGTGCCAGTACTACAGACGATTTGTACCAGATTTTTCAGAAATAGCAGCTCCGTTATATGAATTGACAAAGAAATGTAACAAGTTTCAATGGACGCACGCATGCCAAACTGCTTTTGATAGTTTGAAAGAAAAATTAATCAGTTCTGAAATATTAGCTCTACCTAATGACGAGGATGCATTTATTTTAGATTGCGATGCTTCAGATAAAGCTATGGGTGCAGTACTTTCACAATTACAAGATGGAGTAGAAAAACCCATTTGTTACGGTAGTCAGTTATTTAATAAACATGAGATGAATTACAATGTAACCAGGAAAGAATTACTTGCAATTATAACATTTGTGAAAAAGTTCAGGAAGTATCTGATCGGTCGTTCATTCAAAATAAGAACAGATCATGCAGCGCTTCAGTGGCTGAGAAAAACACCAGAACCAATAGGAGAGCAACTGGGTTTACCAGTTAAAGAAACTGGGTTGACTAGTGAGGCAGCTTCGAGTAATCAGTGCCTCTTCTGGTCCCTAAGAGACTTAACGCGTGATTCTATGCTCATTGGCATAGATTCAGAAACGTCTTAAGTTCTCAAAGAGTCAGCCTTGGGTTCACCAGTTAGGCAGCTTCGAGTAATCAGTGCCTATTCTGGTATCTAAGAGACTTAATGCATGATTCTATGCTCATTGGCATAGTTTCAGAAACGTCTTAAGTTCTCAAAAGTGGATTTGGTACGAGACTCTATGCTCATTGGCATAGTTTCGCACGCGTACTAGAGTCACACAATTTGTTTCCAGTGTTGTTCTGACTCTTGTTGTCTTGTGTTGGTCGTGCGAAAGCCGATCAGACTCGACGGCCCAGTGAAAACAGGCCAGGGTTGTGCGAAAGCCGACCGACTGACTGACAGGCCCAGTGAAAACAGGCCCTTGGTCGTGCGAAAGCCGATCAGACTCGACGGCCCAGTGAAAACAGGCCAGGGTTGTGCGAAAGCCGACCGACTGACTGACAGGCCCAGTGAAAACAGGCCCTTGGTCGTGCGAAAGCCGATCAGACTTGACGGCCCAGTGAAAACAGGCCAAGGTTGTGCGAAAGCCGACCGACTGACAGACAGCCTTGGGTTCTGTGAAAACGAATCCGCCTCCTTCTTTTCTTTCTTGTGCTATTTGTGGACCTAGGGTTCTTTGCTGGATTCTATACTCATTGGTATAGTTTCACACGCAGCTTGGAATTTCCATAGGCTCCGATTTTTGTGATTCATTTTTTTTTTTTTATTTATTGGAGTTGTATCGACATCACCATCGGATACACACGTCGAAGTTGTACGATTAAAACGCCAAGAAACATATTCCAAGTTGAAGACCCAACAAGAAGAGTTCTAATTCCTGTATTCCAGTTTGTTCATTGACATTTACATTCTTATAGAGTTCATTAGTTCAATTCCTTTTATTTACTTCCGTCGATTAATAAAATTGTTATCGAATATTTTTACGCGTTCGTGTGTTACTCAGTAAAATCATATAATTCGAAAAAGCCCAGTGCCACACAGGACTGGTCGAACTCACGATAAAAATATACACAAAAATTATTGTCGGACCATACAAAAATTCCCTGAGAAAGATAGAGGAGGAGATTGCTTCCTCTTATCATTTTAATTTATTATTATTTTAAAATTTTCGACAATTGGCGCCCAACGTGGGACCTTGTCACCCTTTTAAAAATCCTCCTCCTCCTCATTAATTTATTATTTATTATTTTAAAATTTCCGACAATATATATATATATATATATATATACAGTATTGTATGAATTCTAACATTTTTGGTTGTAATTGGTAAAATTCATACAATACTGTGTAAAATATTGTCTCCTTCCAAATCTATGCCAGTTTTGAATATTCTCAAGCATATGTTTGTCCTTTTGTTAATTTGGATTCTAAAGCTGAACACAGTAATCCAACTTAGGTCGAACCAATGCTTTAATCGGTTCAATGTGACGATCATGTCTCTGCTTTTTACTGTTACTTTTATCATACCCAGAGTCCTGATTGCACTTTTAGCTGTCTCGATGCATTGCCACGCTACCCTACCATTCCGACAGATTATCACCCCTAGATTCTTTTCCTTTTCTACACTATTTAGTGGCGTGTTTCCAAGTTTGAATACGTTTTCCTTGTTATTTGCTCCCATATGTATGACTTCACATTTGTCGGTCTTGAATACCATCTGCCAATCCTCAGACCATTTGCATTATTTGGCAGATCGCATGCCAGAATTTCAGTATCTTCATAGTTGTCTACAACAGCACATAATTTAGTGTCATCTTCAAATATTGAGATTTTAGACTTTATTCCTAAACCACTATCATTAATGTATATTACAAATAGTAAAGGTCCTAATACGGTCGATTTTATACACAAAACGGTTATTTTGTCCTTTTTCTGAGTTTTATTAAAAACCTTCCCACAATTTGGAAGTGGAGTGTCCCGGCCAAGGAGTGTCCCGGCCACTCTCGACATCCGCCACTGGTTGTAGTTAATATCTCTAATGACATGTAACTCGTGTTAAACACTCTTTTGCCAAATCTGCTTTTGCTTTTTCTAGTCTTTTTCTCTGGAACTCTCTACTTACCTCTCTGACTACTTCTCCATCACTTGCGAAGTTCAGAGCGGATCTCAAGACCCATCTGTTTTCAAAATTCATTGAGGAGCGCTGTTGAACATCGCTAAAATAGCGCTTTATAAGCTAATTGATTGATTGATTGATTGATTGATTGATTGATTGATTGATTGATTGATTGATTGATTGATTGATTGATTGATTGATTGATTGATTGATTGATTGATTGATTGATTGATTGATTGATTGATTGATTGATTGATTGATTGATTGATTGATTGATTGATTGATTGATTGATTGATTGATTGATTGATTGATTGATTGATTGATTGATTGATTGATTGATTGATTGATTGATTGATTGATTGATTGATTGATTGATTGATTGATTGATTGATTGATTGATTGATTGATTGATTGATTGATTTGTGGTGTCATTAGTTAAGATAAAAAATTATCCAACAAATGATAAAAACAACTTCAAAGGTAGTTCACGGCAAGATGTAATTTTTTAAAGAATTAAAACTTTCGCGTTGAATGTTGCGATCCTAAGATGAGTAAGCATTAAAGAATGAAGTTAAAAACACAACGCTGTATAAAACAATTTAATTTTATAATACGGACTTTAGACCGCTTCAAACGAATAATGCAGTACACATTCACTCACACATTACCAATCACACATTGAGAAAATACATAAGATGAATACACAAGCTTCGATAAGAGTAAATGAATAAAATAGAAAGATGGAGAGGAGAGCAACAAATACATAATAACTGAAATGGGCTGGTAGAACACTTTGAAGAGATATACAATTGCATTTACTTAACGTTTATCCTTCCCTCTTACATTACATTTATTCACGTGACTTGCAAATAGGTTTCATTTATAAACTGCGTTTTATTCTGATATTAACTGAAGTTTGATCTAAATACTTTAATTCACGATAATTATTATTTGTACCTTTAATATTGCAAAACCACGGGTATGTTGATTCTCTTATTGTTTTCTAACATGATAAATCAACGCACCTTAGCCACTATTTTAAAAAACCACTTTCCCTTACTTATGAAATATGAACAATTTCAATCATAACAAATCAAGCGAATATCTAAAAATTCTCCAAGACAGGATCGAAACGGAAACCTATAAAACGAGAACGAACCAGAGAACCGTTGTCAAAGCTAATAATAATGATATAGACGTCTGGTTCTCTACCTTATTAAGTAGAGTGTGCTGTTATATCAACGCTAACTGTGTTGAGATATGTTAGTGGTACTTAAATCTCTTCAAATCTCTTCAGCAAAATAAGCTTAAATCTCTTCAGAAATCTATTCAACAAAATAAGCTAGCACTAACCCGTACGTTAAATTAGATAAGATACCAGGATGGTGACATTTTGATTTGACGACTTATCCGAATTTACTAATCAGTTAGATACGATGATTATTAACAATGCTTCAAAATATAATATATGCTGTTTTGGCTTAACCAGCGCCGTTGATATTACGTTTTATAAATATAATCAATAGAGCGCTAAATTTGGTGTTTTTTTTTATTAAAAAAAAGACTAGCGAACAATTTGAAATTGAGTCAAATAAAAAAATGTTATGAAAAAATAAATTCAAGCATAAACTTTTCAAACTTTTTATTAGTTTTTTAATCTAGTTCAAAAAAATTATTTAAATTTTTTCAAAAATTCATGTTTCTTTCCGTGACAATCCCTTTAACAAGTGTGTGTGTGTGTGTGTGAAAAAATTGAATTGAGAATTACAAAAGATTACAAGTCGAATATAACCAATAATAATTTTTTTTTCAACTTACTTTTTTTTTACTTCTTCCGTCTAAATCGACCCTTATTTTGATAGAAAATTGGCCAAATTGGTTGCCCAATTGAAATGGCTCTAAAGTCTAAACGTATGATTCTTCTTCGAGCCACTATCATTTCTCGGCTTTTAGACGGTCTTCTTGATACAAATTGAGTTCATCCAGTAGATTTTTGGTAAGTTCTTTGAGTCTACCTTTGTCAGTTGGTAGAACCTTTTCCTGTTGCTCCATATCTAATGATTTCACCAAATTTATTGATTGGCAATTACCTATTTCCTCGCCTTTTTTAATTTTAATAGTGTGTTTAGCGGTATTCATTATTCTGACAGGAATAAGACCATTTTTGTTCGCTTCTACCAGGCATTTTCCAATGGTGTTTACAATCACGACGTAGATGGCCTTTTTCACTACAAATCCAGCATTGGGGTACACCATGCTGTTGGGGTTCGCGTTTCACAACCATCTTCTGGCAAGAGCATTCTTCATGTACTTGGCGTAGACGTACGTCACTTTTTGATGCTTGCTTTGCCGATTCAAAAGTGAGACTGTGCGCAACGGCATCCTTGAGTTTTCGTTTATCTGACAAGAGAAGGGATTGCTTGAGTTCCGAATCACGAAGAGCTTTGATAAACGTATCCATGCAGTTTCGTCTCTATGCTTGGGGTCTGATGTCGGATACGACAGCAATGTCAACCGTTCGATATCTTGTGTCAGCTGCTGAATGGATTCACCAGATCGTTGCGTTCTGTTTCTAAGCTGAGACCGATAAATCTGTTTCATGTGTTCTTCACCATAACGTAAGTCCAACGCGCTAACCAGAACTTCATAGTTGAAGTGGTTCTCCGCCGGAATCGTCTGAAGAACCTCTGCTGCTGAACCTCGCAGGGCCAGTATCAGTGCTGTTGCTCGTTCTTTTCCGTTCCAACAATTACTAGTTGCCGCTGCTTCGAACTGGGTTTTATAAACGTTCCAGGACATCTCTAACGGCATGGTCACTTTTTTGGATTCCTCCAATTCTCGCTTCAATTTGTCTATCTTGTGATCTACCTCAACGGTCTGACGATCAAGTTTCTGCTCGATCATTTCTATTCTTGTTGACTGTTCTTCAATCTGTTCTGCCACTTCCAATTTTACGTGTTTTAGCTGGTCCTTGATCTGTTTTAACTCTTCTCTCTGTCGTTCGGACTGTCGTTCGGACTGTTCTTTGATCTGTTTTAACTCTTCTGTCTGTCGTTCGGACTGTTGCTTTATTTCAGTTGACATACTAAGCAGAAGTTCCATCATTTTAGCGGTTGTAAACGTGCCTGTGCTAATTTCATTGTCTTCATCAGCACCATCAAACTTGAATTCGTCTGGGTTCTTACCTTCGTCAATGAGAGCTTCTCTCAGACGTGCTACTAGTACTTCTTTGTTGCCACTTGTGACAAGGCTTCGTTTCTGTAGTTCTTCTCGTAGCTGAACTACGTTCAAACCACACAGTTTTGACATCGTGTTCTTTTTCTCTGAGTAGTAATTCGCTGGTCGAAGATCCCACTTCTGACACCAATGTTATAATATTCTCGCTGTCGTAACCGATTTACGATGCGACGGGTTCAAATCTTCGATTGAATAAAATATTCCAAACAGTTATTAAACTTTATTTACAGAAGAAATCAACTATTATTAGTTATTAAACTTTATTTACAGAAAAAATCAACTAATCGTTTATTTCCAGTAAATTTGCACTAACGCAACAATTAACTTTTAAATCTTTCAAAATCTATCGCTATGACAACGTCAACAAACAAATCAAATATCGCTTTAAATAATTCACCGAATCGCTATTCACAAAATCACGAATTTCACTAATCACGAATATCACTAATCACGAATATCACTAATCACGAATATCACTAATCACGAATATCACTAATCACGAATATCACTAATCACGAATATCACTAATAACGAATATCACTAATCACGAATATCACTAATCACGAATATCACTAATCAAGAATCTTCTTGCAACGTGCGCTTATATACTCTTCGCAAGCGTCGTTTCTAGATTCTTCCAGATGGTCCGATTCTAGCATACTCTAGAATGCTCCAGTCACTAGAACATTCCAGAATACGCTAGAATCCAGTGCGTTCGGTATCACGGTTATAACAATATATTATTGTCTTTTTATTAACTTTATTGCAACTCTATGTTTACCATAAAATTTGATTGATAACGCCAAATAATAAGAATGATTGAACCCCAATTGAACAATTAAACCAGCCCCTCTAAAATGTACTCACTTGCAGTGACGAGCATTTTAGATTAAATAGGATTTTATAATTATTTCATTATTAATATTTGGTATTTGGAGTTAGAAAATAAAAGGATGTTCCCATTATTATTGTTGTTATTATTATTATTTGTTTTAATTTTAAGATTAATGCTAAATATTTTTTTCAATAAAATTAGTTTTTTTACAGGTTTAAATTTTGTTCAGCAAAAATTCTCATTTGAATGAACTTCCGCAGACTCTTTTGAATAAATGCTCTTGACGAGTCATTCAAAATAACAGAAAATAAAGATATAGCTAAATCTGTTCATATTCCATCTGTTCTATTTGTTATTTTCATATTTATTTTTATTTCAACTTTTCAAAAATTTTAGTATGAAAAAAACGACAAAGTTTAAAACATTTAAATTTTAACTCCAACTTAATATCTTGAAATTTTGCAAACCAAACTGACAGCTAGCAATCAGCTAAAGGAGAAGCGGCCGCATTGATTTTTGAAAAAAATATCCAAAATTTGCGATTGGAGCCTAAGAACTCTCAGTGAGATATCTTTTGAGAGATCGTGGAGTGAGAGAAGAGGATCAGAACAGGGAATTGTGAGAGATAATCACGAAAGATGGGAACATCGATGAACACATTCCTTTCCTCAAATACATATCTGATGAATAAATTATTTTACAATTTAATACCATTAAATTAAAATGATTTAATCTTATTTAATTTAATAACGTTTAGCTAGATTGAATAAAATCTATAGACTATTAACATTTTTGAAATAATTGCTTGAACTTTTCATGATAGTGATAGCACATTCTAGCAGCTTTCAAAAAATAAATAAAATAAATTATAGTTTACTAAAATTGTTCGTTTGTTTGTTTGTTCGTTTAGCTTTTGTTTTAGATTTCGGTAAGAGTATTTCACGGGGCAATAAATGCTCTATTAGTGTTCATAAAAGTCCTATCATAACAAGAAACATTTGAAAACCAATAAAACCAAATAGAACCAAACACGTCATTGGCAACAAATAAAAGAAATTGCACAAACAACACGCACCACAATACACAAGTAGTCACAACAACAGCCATGGTATAAACTTTTTAAAATAGATACAAATAAAATATTGAAAAAGTAAAATTTGCTAAGGGATTGTCAAAAAGAGAAAACCTAAATTCCGTAAGTCGAACCTGGAATCGTCCCAGCAGCCCCCTATATAATACCACTCTCAAACGGACGACTATAAAAGGGTGCAACCTTTCAAATTATTGTTGATTCGTTGTCTTGTTACACATGCACTACAATCCAGATGAAGTGAGCAAGAACATAGACTATGCTTCAGGCAAACACATAATAAAGTTTTTGCGCTTTTGGTACCAAGTCACTCCTGGTATTCGGGATTTTGAATAGTTAGCGGAAATAAAAAAAATATTTATGACAAATTATTTTTTTTTAAACTTTTCTGAAACAACATTTGCATTTTGTTTGCAGTTGATTTGCATATGAACATCTGCCGTTTTAATTCAAATGATGAAAATTTGAGTATTTGAAATTCAAATCAGTTTTTAAAATATTTAAAATTTTCAACAGCAAAAATTTGCTTTTCAACGAATATTCACTCATGGTTCATTTGAACAAAAATAATAATAATCTCAACCCGTTCAAATTCAAATTCATATGTTCTTTTTATTATTTTCATTTTTTACAAAATTTAGTATAAAAAAATCTAAATTTGCAAGATTTAAATTAATTTCAAATAAAACAATTTGATATTATCGACATGAACTTACAGTTTTGAAGTTTTGCAGACCAAACCGACAGCTACCCGTCCCAAGAAGATGAAGATGTTTCTGATGTGCCTTGCTGCTCTGACAGTCTTTGCACTGGCGACTGCTGGTTAGATTTCTTTCAAATATATTTTTAACAACTTTCTCTTCAGTTATTTTCACAGGCACCAACCACATGGATCTCCCTGCATTCGATCACCCTCACTGCAACACCGGAGCCAGAAACCTTGACCTTCACACAATCGACCCGTCCAATATTCTTATTTATTCTTACTGATTTCAACGGCTAACAATTATCAGCAAATAAATACTCAAATGTGTTGCAAATTGGGTTCAAACTTTTTTTTGAATTAGTGAAGTTATTTAAGACAATTAAGTTTTTTGTTTTGGGATGCAAAAATTCAAGAAAATTTTAATATTCCCTGAAAACAACTGCAAAAATAATTTAGGGTTCATTTTTAAAAATACTGGTTTTGCTCAATTGTGCGCTCCGCTACTGTTGAAACTTCTTTCAATTTTTATTCTCAGATTATGATGATAATGATGAGTATGTAGAAGGGGTTGATAGTTATACAATCGAAATTTTTAACAACTTCGCGGGAAATGATAAGCTACTTTCAAAAACCGAACTGAAAAAACTTCTGAAGAAATTTGGTGTCACTGACAAAAAAGAAATTGAAAAATCCGTGAAGAGCGAATTCGCGAAAGATTTTAACAAAGACGGATTCCTTAATTATGAAGAATTCACGGCTGATGAAGATTAAGATAAAGTTGAATAAATTGTTAAATTTTATTAATATTATAATAAAATAATCAATCATATTATTTTATCTGTAGACTATTTTAAATTAATGTTAAAATATTTTTCAAATTGAAGTATCACATTTAAGCAGTTACGTTGTTTTTTTTTGTCAAAAACAAATCAAACGAAAAAAAATGAGATTTTATTAAAATTATCAAATAAAAACAAAAACCTACTATAAAATATTCCATAAATTAATCTTGCAAAACAAGCAAAGCCAACTTTACTTCAAATCAACATCCACTTGAACATAAAAAATAATGTTCACAATTTTCAAAATGGTCATAAAAATTAATAAAATGACTACAAATGCTAATAAACCCGTGTTGTTGTCGTTGGGATTAAATAGAAAAAGATCCTCGCCTAGTGTCACGTAACATGTGCAGTAAACCCATCGAAGGCGGCGTGATGGTCTACCGGTTGTCGAAACTTTAGCCAAAAATTAGACAATTTGGAAATAAAAACATAATTTTAAATTTTTTGCATCTACCTCGTTGTCTGATATGCTGGTTTCAAAACGCGCCTAATGAAATTTCTACTAAATTCTGCTTATCTTATTTAAAAAACAACACTCCCAATTATGGACATTAAAATTTATAACAATATATGCTATTAATTAGTTTAGTAGTTTGAAGGTGAACCTTGTCATTATTGATAAAGATTGGCGATTAGAGCAGTTTTTTTTATAAAATTAAACCTAGAATATTCAGCGTTGTATTATTGTACAGCACATGACTAGAATAAATAAGCCGCACGAAAGCCGTGCGTAAACTAACTATAAAAACGTTAACACAAATAACAATTATTTCTGCAAAGAGATTGTAAATTTGACAAAATTATAATTCTGTCGGGAGTGTAGTGTCCATATCTTCATTTCCAACTGCGTCGGGTTTGTTTTCAGCTTCTGTGATAGTCGGCTTTCTATTCAGTCAACAACGTTTGATCAACAAATATACCAGTTCTAATATCTCCACTCCACTTACAATTGTTATTCCCAACCAAAGTGATAACATACCTCCCACAGATCCGAGCATCGTTTCATATGTATGAACAGCTTTATCTTGTTGAAAATAAGGAAAGTTTTGTTTCATAATGTAGTTTATTTTTAATAAAGATTCTGGCATTTGTGTTAGATTGGAAATGGGATTATTGGATAATTGGTTGTTGATAAAATTGTTGCAGTAATGTAGATGGTTGGTATATCTGTGTTTAATTTCTGGATAATTCATGCAGTGTTTTTGTACAAAAAACCTGTTAAACATATCAATTTGAATGGAAGTTTGTGGCCAAGCAGTTGACGTAACGTAGAATTGGTACAGCATTTCATTACATGGCTTCAAGCATTTTGTTGAACATTTTCTGGAAAAAATGTACTGTAAATCTTTTAATAATTAGGAACTGTTTAGCAGAAAATGGATAAAAATAAATAATGAAAATATACCATCATATACGTTGTTATATTTTGTGTTATAAACATTTCAAATCCGATGTAAAATTTTTTTTTTAATTCATGCACGCTTTTTGAATCATTCAAATTTTTGTTAAAAAATGAGCTGAAATTTCCACAAAACGGTAAACTTTCTAACTCCGAGCCTGACCAAAACAGCAGATGTGATTTACAGCCTGCATCAATGGATTTAAACTTTTGTAGATAATTTTCATTGCACATATCATGAGTGTATTTAACATAAGAAAACATGGCCATTGTGCAACCCAATCTGTGATGTTTTTTTGTTACAGAACTTTTTCATGAATAACACTTTAACGTGGTTAATTTCTAAATTTAAACTAACTTATTGTGTGGTTTATCTAAACGTCTTCTTTCAGTTTGAGTAATTTCGACGATATTTTCAGTTCCGGGAGCCACATTGAATCCACGCTTGAGGTCCGCAAGAATTCCAGGACTGTGTACACTCACTTTAACTCCTCTCGATTGAGAAGACTGGTAGGATATCATTGTATTTTTGATTGGACCAACATTCAGTAGCAAACTCATTCCTCTGATTATGTTTGAAAAAGAAAATGTGAAATTAGAAGTATTTAACGTGTAACAAGTGAAATAATTTGCATTCCAAGTTTTTGTGAAGTTTTTTAAGGAACATTTACTATCCAATTCCAACCAGTTGTCTCCAAAGAAACTGCAATCAACTATGAATTCAGAACAGTCAATTGGAGTCTGAATGTTTTTCTGTAAGTTTATAATATACCCAGAAGACAAAGTCACTTGCATTGAGATAAAGTTGTTTTAAAACTTGTGATGATATACTATGATCTATTTTATGATATTTATTCTTGAGATCAGTCAAATTGGATAAATACTCATTCAAGGACATTTTTCTTGGTTCGCCTGCAGCAAACGGATCCAGGTCGCATATTGTGATGTCCGGGAATGAAATGTCATGATTAAACTGTAAAAAATATTTCCATTGCTCTACGGTTTATCTTTTTTTGGAATTTCAGAGAAAAATAAATAGGATTACAGATTCATTATAAGTTTGATAAATCTCAATATTTAGAAAATTATAGTTTCAACTTTAGAAAATTTTTTTTATTATTTCTTTACCTATATAATTAAAAAAAATTTTATTTTCCAACTGCATGATTTCAATGTTCAATTTCAACACATTTTAGTAACATATTCATTAAACCTAAAAACTTGAAAATATTATTTGTTTTCAAGTTTTATTTTATATAACTAATTTGTATTATTAGTTCTATCATTTATTGAGCGTTTTGTGTGTAGTGGAGCTTTTCCCAAACACATCTTATGTTTTGTCGTTCAATTTATTTGAAAAAAAAAATTATTAACTATCCAACATTTTTGCAAAAAATGTGCTGGTCAAATGTTTCAATATGAAATTTTTTAAAACTTTCTTAAACAATCAAATGTGAATTAACAGTCTGAAATATTATTTAGCTTATTAGCTTAATATTTTATATGTAGATCAAAATATATAGTTAAAAAGCAAAAAGTTATATAAGACAATATAGAGTAAATAAAATAACAGACTCAATATCAACTGAAAGTAAATGGCAGTAGATGAAGTAACTGCAAACTTTTTTGGTAGTGAGACCTGAAAGAGCGGGATGGGTCAAAGGTTACATCAAAGAGATTGAGATTGGAAGAGGGAGGAAAAGGCAAGTTAGCAATGAGAGACTGTGATTGAGGAGTTGTTGAAGAGTGCCGAGAAACATCATTATAATAAATAAATAAATAATTTTTTTTTTCATTTTTGTAATAAAATCAATCTAAGTCTTTTTGGCGAAAAATAACTTTATAATAAAATTAAGAAGAATGGAAATAAAAATCTACGGAGCCTAAAAAGCTAAACATTAAAAATATTTTGAAACAAAAACCACCGCAGTACTACCAACCTTTTCTCCAAATTCTGTAGTTATCGGATATTCATAGTAGTTTTCTAACAGCGCGTACAGCTTAATCGCCATGTAGGTCGTAGATCCAAACGACAAAATCAGCCAGAGCACTTTCAAGAAGGCATCATTTGTTTTGAAACACTTTGAAATTCCTCTCACAGACGTATTTTCCCCGTATTTTTTTAATTCTGATTTCAGAATTTCACTCATTTTGTCTTCAAAATTTTAAAATTTCTCCACTGTATCAACTTTGTGTTAGTAATTTTTTTTAGTAGTGTTTATCAATAAAGTTAATTTATGGTATTTTAGTAGGAAAAATGCTCAATTAAGTAAAAAGCAGGATGAACAACGTAGATTCTTATCATTCTACTCTTTTAGTTATCGAATTAGACAAACAAATGATAGTTAATGATTGAGTAAAAAGAAAATGATCCGAAAATCTAATAAGGTCTGATAGACAGAAAATAAAATCAAGGTTTACTTCAGATAATAAAATATTAAGGTAGGACATACAATACACATATCAGAGATCTCAGAATATAATAACGGAGATGTACTTTAAACAAATTTTGCCACATAACAAGCGGGCTTAGATAATGGTTGAGAGAAAAAGTAATTTCAGAAAAAATTAGAAACTATTCATATAAACAAACTTTAAAATAAAAATTAAAATAAACTTTATACTCCAACCACTCGAATAATTTCAAAAACATTTTAGCATCAAATGAGTTGAATCTAAGTATATTATGTTGTAGGTGATGCGATTGTAGAACTCGAACCTGCCACAAACTGGTTACCGTCAATCCCATGCAATCTATGTTGTGTTTGCAGTCATATGTATTCACTCACTTCTCTGTGGTTGTGTTGTCGAGTATTTTTTAAATTGATCAATGAAGAGATGTTATAAATTTATGTAGTGTTTATTGAAAATAATATCTGTTACTAGCAGTGTAAAAGGTAATGGGATATACCTTTAATTAATACAACGAGGCACAGCCATCTTTTTTTTTCATTGGATCATTTTATTTTGAAAAAATATAATTAAATCTCAACAAAATTCACACTTGAAACGGATTGAAATGCAAGGGTAGATGACGATTTATAGCTTTTAAATTCATTCACTTTTGATCGAATACCTTTTAACGTTATCGATCACCATTTACATTGGGTCCCATGTAGACGATGCAGTTATTAATCTCCGTGGGGATTTTTGAATCGACAGACGGTTCATCAGGAATGTTCAATCCCGACTCGGAAATAATGGAATTAACTGAATTAAGAACTGAATATAATACTATATAATGCAGTTTCGTTCTTTTATTTTTAAAGTTGTTCAATGAAATCTAACCCTTAGTAAAAATGAAATTTGATCCAAAGAATCTCAAGTTATAATAAAACTAGCTTGTTGAATGTTTATATTATGCACCTACCTACATGTAGTTTGATGTTGAGTTGAGAGTGCTTTTGATTAACTAATTGCATTGGTTTTCAGGTAAATATTGCAAATAATAATAGTAATAAACCCACAGACGATCTACAGACATCGCATGGAAGCTACTAAATGATTAACTTCTCTGCTCCTTGCATTAGTTATACTTGCATTATCAATAACAAATAAATTTGCTTTAATTTACAATGTTATTGATAATTATGTTGTTACTACTGGTTTTGAGCTTATAAACATTATTTATTAGAATGGTAATAAATCACAAAATACATACAAAAATGTTTCTAGAACCTAGAAGAATTAATAAAACCTGACAAGAGGAAGATGCATCAATTTGTAATTTAACTATTCTTTCAACTTTCGTGTTACAGAAAAACTTCTACTTTATTTTCTAAATTTAATATAGTCCCAAACTGTACTAACAAACAATAATTTATGGAAGTTATTTCAAGTTGAAAAAAAATTTTTTAACGGGAAATTTTTTCAAAATCAACAAATTCGAATTCATTTTGGTGAAAAAACTGAGTTGGATTTCAAGATACTATTGATTTTATAAAAACAAAGTAATGAATAGTGTAGAATTAGCTGCATGTGATTGTTTTATTTAAGATTTAACTAAGGCGCTGTTTCTGTGAAATCTCATTTCAATGTATGAAGTCCAAGTGTTCACTGTAGTATATGATCCTCCGTGAAACATTGATGACGACTGAGATAAAAGTTCTCTCGATCAACTGCCTGTATTATGTACCTTGCAATCATTGAAAATGATTGTCTGTATGCAATGCATTTATTAACTTCCATGGAAGCTTTCAATACAACGAACGTCACAGTACATATTACACAAGCTAATTAATCAACAGAGACTTTTGAAATGTTTATCAGGTTTTAACCTCAACTCATCTTTTCACGCCATGCACTTGGAAGTTTTCAACATTCAAAAGCATTTGGTTTACTACTAATTTTACAAGTTAATTAAGTTGTCATTAAATCCATACTGATCATTTTGCCTCAAAAAAACTTTCTTGTCCGTATTATAAGCCACCTCATCTCTTAAAGCACATTTGTCATTTTTATGAGTTTTCACATTGGGAAGCATTTTTTATTGTTAAAAATCGGTCTAGCTAGATTTTTATGCAAAGGTTTTCAACCCTCCGTTGGTACTTGATAAAAAGTTACCCTCTTGTTACTTGGGGTGCGTTTTGTAACCCTATTTAATTTTTATACATGAATCAATTTTAACAAATTTAATTTTTTTAATATAATTTAAATAATTTTCAACTAAAATACACGTATTAAGCATTTTATATGCAGTGAAACAAGGCACTAAACGAGGTTACGGTGGTACGAAAAGACCCTGGCAGACTCGATATAAGTACGGTTTTAATTCTCATATCAATATTTTAAAATGTCAAAAAAGTCGCATGCAAGTGCTGTTCAATGTTTTTTCAAATTATATATTTAAACAAGACAAACACTGTTCACACAGTATTTTTGAGCTGTTCATAGAATATGCTGGACGAGCGGGCCTAGAGCACATGTCACAGAAGTTTCGTATTTACCTGTCACGCCCAAGCGGGCACAGATGACAACATTCCTTTGTTATCTTTACATTGTCTAGTCTTTCACGTTCTCTTATTGCAATATCCAGCTCTAGAAATCGGTTATAAACATTCATGATAGGTTTTTTGAGCCAAATAGAAATGTCCAAACATTTCCTAATTAGTGACTCTACAAGACATTCCCCGAGATTCGCGATGAATTGGCTAGATGTATAGCTTCCGATGACTTGTTCCAATCAGAGTTATTGCTTATCCAGATCATGAAACAAACAGCAATGACAGCTGTGTCAAGCATGTTAAAAAACAAGACCATCGGCCGTCTGATGATCTTCCCTTTACAAGATTAGATTGAAGCCAAACGATTTTTTATCGGCGCCACTTTCATCTTCGGTTTATCAACAGATTTGTCATTATGCATTGTAGATTAAAGTGATAGACTTTTTTGGATACTATGATATATAGTGCCAAAGTTTTGTTACAAATTACAATTTGTTTGTTACAAGCCCAAGTATTTTTTAGGCGTTGTTGGCTTCGTATCACGTATATTGGTTTATTAATATTTATAATTATTAATTATTAAAATTTATTATTATTTATTAATTTATTTTATAAAAAGTCTAATTTATGTTGATAATGTACTAAAATTCAATACCATCAAAATACACATCATTTATTAACAATAATAATGTTACTTGTGTATTATATTGAACCTTTTAAGTAACGTTCGTCTGGGGTACAAAATGCACCACCAAAGAAAATATTCCGGTAAAAATTAACGTTGAAATTTGTTCACAATTTTATGCGTGAAAATATGACAAAATAGTATCTTAACAATGTCCAGATATGACTGCTGCAGTATTGTTAATAACAAAGTCGTAGCCATAGAGAGTCTGCACCCAAGTTTCAGATGATGTTTAAAAATTTTAACAAGGAACTTTTAACTCCGATTCTAACAGCTATTTTCTCTGATCCAAAACTAGTTAAATAAAATGTTTCTAAGAACTTGAAAAATTTTAATAATTTTTTTTATTATCAATTCTACATTTTTTTGCAGCTGCTCAACAAAATCAAAAACCAATTTTTTAATCATTTTTTAAAAGTTTTTTTTGTTACCAAAAGTGTTGGTCCTAAACACATAGAAAGCTAATATCATTTTTAAGACTTGTGGCCCGTATGTTTAAATTACAAATATAGAATAACTTGTTAGCAGACCTGCGTTTGACTGAGTTGCATTATAAAGAATAATAACAAAAACGTCTGAAAATAAACGTCTTATGTGTATATTTGTTTCTTGAATGTGTATGTGTAAATTTTGGCTTGAAAATTGTTCTTTGTTATTTTATATTTGTCATTTTAGAATAATTGATTAATTTGATACTGTTAATATTAATCCATTTTTTTCTATAAATTTAATAAAACGTTGAAAACGATTTAATAAAATTATAAGAATCGTTTCAAGAATTAGCAGAAAATTATGAAAACAAGACACCGCGTAAAAGTTATAAAAATTTCTTCAGTTGAATTTTGTAAACAAACAAATGAAGCGTAAAAAATAAAAACAACTATATAGAAGAAATAACATGTAAATGCAAAAACAACTCCCACAATGCAAATGCTTGGTTCTAATGCATACACTTACATTAAAAGCAATAGGTTCAATCATAGGAAAAACAAAGTATTAATATTAATTGTCAGCTAAGAAGCAGTGTCATGACTCACATTTAATCTGCAAATGTTGAATAACATATAGTAATAATTTTCAAGAGTTCACAAACACAAAGTATAGCAAAAAGAGCAAAAATAACCATAAATTTGCATCATGAATGTTTTGTTAACTTTGAAACATTCTCGATGATAAAATTCCGTCTGTCTCAATAGAGATCAAGTTGACAGATGACATAAAATTTTTTGTCACATTTCACATCGTCCCATTCGAAAGTGGTAATAAACGGATGCAAACAGCCTGAAATTTTTATTTTTTAAACACTCAAAACGCAAGTTCGGAGTGCGGTTTGAGTCAAATTCATTTTTCAACAAATTATTTTAAATTCTTTCGTTATCGTACATGGTTCCTAAATAATATTCATATATGGATGAATATAAGTTCCTTTATTCCTACCTCTCCTTGGTTAGGCCCATGGATATATATAATATGAATATGGCAGACAATCTATGTATTTTTTATTATTATTATTAATGAAACATTTATAAGCGCTAATTAAAATCAAAATGTTTTCTAAAGCGCTATCTATAATCAAACAAAGTCAAAAAAGAAAAAAGTACAGTCAATGGCGGTTGTAACAAACAAATAATTATTCACTTAACAACAAAATCAAAGCGAAAATAAGTAAGTTTTAAGTTTCTTTTTAAAATCATCAAGTTTCAAATCTTTAGTTCTAAAAGATCTCGGTAAGCTGTTCCAAACCATTGGTCCAGACACTGCAAAATCTCTTGATGCTATCTGCAGATTGACATCAGGTACAACCAGCAAAATGCCATCATCTGATCTAAGGTTCATATTACTCATCATGATAGACTTTTCTTTTATTTTTTTATCAAATAACTTGTTAACAAGCCATGCACAGTTTTATACATTAAAATACATATTTTATATTTAATTCTTTTCTTTATAGTAAGCCAATGAAGGCTCTTAAGAATTGGAGTAACATGGTTAAATTTGAGACCTCCAACAATCAATTTGGCTGCTCTATTCTGAATAGATTGAATTGCAGAAATAGACCTATTTGGCAAACCGTAAAACAAACCATTGCAATAGTCCAATCGTGAATGAACCAATGCATGCACCAAGGTATGAATAGCAGATTTATCTAATGACTTACGGAGTTTATAGAGTTCTCGAATCTGTCCAGAGCAAGAATTTGTTATCATCTTTATATGATCATGCATTGATAATCTAGAATCAAGAATGAAAACCAGATTAGTTGCTTTGTCACTAAATTCTATTTTAACATCTCCTATTTTCACTGAATCGATATTAAGTTTCATCAGCTGCTGCCATGTACCTATTGGAACAAATTTTGACTTCTGCTGATTTAAACAAAGACCATTGTTTGACATCCAATTATCAATGTTATTTAGGCAGGTTACAAGTTTGTTGATTTCAGATTGCAGTAATTCTGGCATATTACTAACTATAATCTGAATATCATCAGCATAGGCATGATATTTAAAGCCGAAATTACCAATTACTTTAAAAACTTCAGCAGTATACATGATAAAAAGAATAGGCCCAAGCACTGAACCTTGTGGCACTCCTGATGTCAAAACCGTTTCATTAGATAACACATTATTGAAAACTACTTGTTGCTTTCTGTCAAACAGATATGATCTGAACCACTTGATAACAGTACCGGAAATACCATAATCATGAACCAATTTTTCCAAGAGAATCTGATGGTCTACACAATCAAATGCCGCACTCATATCTAAAAACGCGACTAGAGCCACATGTTGTTTGTCCAAAGCAACAAACAACTCAGAAAACACATAAAGCAGTGCAGTTTCTGTTGAATGATAGCGGCGATATCCAGATTGGTGAACTGGTAGCAGGTTGTTTACATTCAAATGAATCAAGAGCTGTTTGGCAACCACTCGTTCAAATATCTTGGAAATGAAACAGATGTTGGAAATTGGTCTATAACTAGACAAATCATTTCGATCCATATTCACTTTTTTTAAAACCGGATAAACCATAGCATGCTTAAACCATTAGAAAATGTGCCACTGCTCAAACTCAGATTTAAGATGCTGGTAAGAAAAACGATGAATAAACCAATATATTTCTTTAAAATATGGGTCGGAAAGACATCTATCATACATGTTTTTGATGGCAAACTGAGTACAATTTTTTTAACGTCAGATTCTGTTAACAGCATAAAGTCAGGAAAAGAACAATTCCCATTGTACTGAGCTTGACAAATAGTCGGACAATCACTCACATTGGTAGACTTTTATTTACTTTATCATTAAAAAACTTTAAGAATTGAGACAAATCTAACCAACAATTTCACTCGATGACTGACCAGTGACCTGATTACAAAGGACTTTATTAATAACATTCCATAGATTTTTAGAAGATCCACTATTGTCTGCCACAAGTCTTTTCCAATAACTGTTTCTTTTTTGTGAAAAAAGCCTAGATTTATTTTTTAGAGCTGCTATCCACTCATTTTTACATTTCTCTGTCAGATATTTTCTGTAATTCCTTTCTTTCTTTCGACAAAGTCTTTTGAAAGATTTACATTCACCATCATACCATGGAGCATTAACATCACATCTGACTTCTGCAAAACGAAGTGGAGCAACTGCAACAGCCAATTTCTTGAGTTCAGAACTCATCATATCAAACTCAATATTAATATTATTGCTTTGGCAAGACTTTGATAATGGAGAAGTCTGTATATATTTAATGAGATTGCTTTCATTTAGGTATTTCCAGGATCTAACTTGTTTCTTGACTATTTTAGGACGCTTATGAGTTAATGGTATGTTAACCTGAATTAAACTATGGTCTGAAAAAGTCCCACTGGGAAAAATCTTAATATCTGAAATCTAAAAATCTTGAGAGCAAATAATCAGATCAAGAATACCTCCATGTTCATGAGTCGGTTCGTCGATCAAATTTTTTAATTGAAACATTTCTAATATTTCCAATAAATTTACAGTATGACGATCTTCCTGTTTCTCAAGGTGAATGTTGAAATCACCCAAAAAGTATAATATTTAAACTAAAAGAAGTGATATTTTCTAGTAAACATAAAAATTCTTCAAAAAATAAATTACTAACTAAAACTGATCCTGGCCTGTAGAGGGCCAATAGAACAAAATCTTTGTTGCTAATAAATAATTTAACAGCAAGTGCTTCAAATGAACTAAATATTGGCAGATCTATTTTCTTAAACTTAAATTCATTACTGAAGTAAATAATTAAACCCCCATGGTGAGGATCATTTATCCTTAAAAAATCAACATAACTTTATCCTGGTGGCATTGATGATTTAACAGAAATGTTATTCGAAGATCGGTGCCAAGTTTCGACTAAAACGAAAATATCTAGCCCATCATGAATCAAATCATAGATCGTATCAGTTTTAGAAATCAATGATCTAATGTTCAATAAACCTAGTGTTAAATTACGATTAATTATGTTGCAGTCTTTATCATTGTTATCATTTATTTCTAAATTCTTGACATATTTTATATTAACACTAGTTTTTTCTGTATTTTTACAATCTTCCATCTCCCTACCTGTCCTCTCACTCTGAACAAAAAATTTTGATTGTTTTCTTCTCGCTCCATAACTTTAGCTTTATCAACAAATTATTTAAATTCCTGCCTCTGATCCTTTGTTAAATCATAGTTCAGTCCAACATGTGAAAATTCTTTTAACGACTTGAATTTATATACATTTCTCATTATTGAGTCTCTGAGTAAAACGCAATCTAACTTTATCAAAATGGGTCTAACGACAGTTTCGCATTTCCTTCCCAGTCTCATTATTTTGATTACATTTTTTTCAGAAACATCTCCTGTCAAATGCTTTAAAATTTTCAAAACATTGGAACGATCATCATCACTTTCAGCTAAACGAAACATCAATAAATTTGTTTCTCTTTCTTTAACGTCACTAGCTTCTTGTAAAGTTTTCTGGATTGATTTGACATCACTTCTAATTACTTCAACATTCTATTTAACTTCCTTGCTGACAATGCTAGAAAATGTTTCTTTTATTTCGTTTTTAAAAATTTTAATTTCCTCACGTAAAACAATATCGAAACGATCAAGTTCATCAAGTTTAGATTGGTTATGGTCAACAACCATTTTTATGCTATCAACGTCAAGTTTTATTTTTCTGTTACTATCATTTATTTCATTTAGTTAAGCAACAAATTCATTTTTAGACGCATCCATTGACTTAGCCAAGGAACTAACATCTTGAGACAAATCAACACAACGTTGACAAAACCATTTTAAACCTTTAACACTTCTCAAAATTTCAAGAATATCATCGTTAGTTTCACATTTATTGTGAACAAAAGTCTTGCAACAAGTGCATGACAACAAATCTTTACTTGGAACTTTTATTGTACACTTCGTACAGCAGTAGCGACTACCGGACGACATTATTGAATTTATTATTATAATTAATTACGCTTACTAGCAGGGAAATTCCTATCACGTGACAGCAATTTACAGACAATATATTATCAAATTTCACTAAAATAATGAATTATTCAAAAATTTAATTATGTTAATCTATTCAAAAAAAATATCAATAAACGATTACTTTTAACGACGAAAACACCAAAAATAACTGACGAAACGACAATATCAACCGTCCAAACGACTGTACAAAAGAATATATATATATATATATATATATATATATATATATATATATTTACAATATTCTATAAATTCTACCGAATGTCTGGCGTTTATAGGTTTGTAGTTCGTTTTTTCCCATCGGGATTACTACTACCTCACTGACTAGAAAGAAGGCTTACGATGCATAAACAGATTGGTGCAGAAAGAAGGCTTACGATGCATAAACAGAGTGGTGCTATCAAATCTCATTTGGACTCAACACACTCAACCACTATAAACCGTGAAATCCTAGACAGCAACATCAAAGTAATATACCAGAGCACCAACTACACGCATCTTAAAATTGCAGAAGTAGTCCTAATTGACATCAATAAACGAAAAATACAACAAAAAAATGACAACCTCACTCCCAACCCGGCGCTTATTCAACAATGAAAAAAAGAAGTAATAAAAACTAGCATTGTAAATAGTGACAAAGAGGAATATGATGCTATCGATGAAGAAAAGGAAACCAACGAAGAAATATGAATAAAGAAATATGACACCTAATTTCCATCTAAGTTCACTTTCACAAAGTGAATATTTCCCTATATAAATCAAATTGCACTGATGATGATTTGCCTTATTTGCAGCATGAATTCGAAAAATAAGTTTATTTTGAATTTTAATAAACTAAACGTTCTCCAAAAAACTTTAGTAAGAAAAATCGAAAAAACGAACTACAAACATATTAACGCCAAACATTTGGTAGAATTTATTGAATATTGTAAATATATATATATATTGTTTCAAACAACATTGTTACATAATTGTTGAAAGGTGAATTTAAGTCAAAGTAAACAATCAATTTTAACCGTTTATTTAGCTAATATCGTCCTAGATGCTTTTTGTCGTCAATTTATTGACATTTAATTGAAAAATTTGTTTAAAGATTAACAATAAGATAGTAAGACGTTTGATTGCTGGCAAAGTAAGAGATTCGTACTCATAACAAAAAGACGCACCAAATTATGTACTGTTTATTCCATAGAACTAGGAAAAATTATTAGACAGGTAATAATTTTTATGCCATATCCATTATATCCATGGTTAGGCCACTATCAACTCACATTCTACTCAATGTTTCATTTTATAACTTATTTGCAAATTTATCATTTATAACTATACTGACTAACTTAAGAATACTATAACACACGATAATAGCAAAAATAATAAAAATGTTATCCAGTTCCAAAATGTGTACAACTTCGAACTTATTTGCGAACACTACATTATGCCAGAGTTCATGATGCCGATGGATGTGCAGGTTTAGCCAATATATTCTTGGGTTCAGAGCAATGTGTCGAAAATGTCAATTCATGAAAGAATCAGACAGCGAGCAAATATCAAGGCAATGTTAAGATCTTATTTTTAAAATAAAAATGAAGTGTTTTAAAACTAACCATATAAATTTACGTCAAAATTATCCGGTTGACCTGAAGACCAGTTTTGATAGCCAGAAAATGAAAAAGTTGTACCATTTGAGTATGGCTGCCAAGTGAATTCAGAAAGTTTAATGTTAGAAACTGTTCTTCCTGATGTCCAAATTTTCCAATCATTACCACTTGTGTAAGTAGAAGCTGGTAGATTTAGTTTCAAAAGTTTTGTATGTACTGAAATAAAAGCCGTTCAAGTAAAAACTATTTAAAAACAAACTTGCACTTCAATTCTAATCCAAATAAAATGGTAAAATGGATGCGATATACTAGAAAATATAAAATAACTATACTAACGAGAGAGGGGTTCTAAAAAAAGTTTCAGAGCCAAATTCGCATCAGGAGTGTCGAGTGTTATAGGATGAAACTTCAAAGGCATATTGTTACACGCGTCTCTGGCATTTGACCAGGTGAAAGATATTAGGCTCAAGTTTAAGCAAGATTTGACTAGCCAAGAGTAACTTGCATATGGTGGACAGACTGTATGTGAAATAAACATAACCTTGTTAAAAATTTTCAAAATAAGTGTTACTTTTGGAGATATATAATTAATAAATATATTACAATTTGAAAATTTTTGTAATTTATTGATTATGAGAAATATATATCCTATAATTTTTAAAACTTAAAGAACCAACCTTCTTTCACCCGATAACGAACCACAGTTTTACCGGGAGAAGCAGAAACACCTGACAAGAATCCAGAGACCAACTTGCATTCTTTAGAGTGTTCATCAAATTCAAACCCTTTACAGACAAATAATTTATTCAAACTGCAGAAGATCGAGCAGGAAATACGAGAACGAACTCCAGTTCTTAAATTACTCTTGTTGGGAAACGTGCTGAAGTTGTGTCTCACATCAATAACATCAACGTTGCTGTTCTTGGCTATGTGGTATACTCTTTGCTCAACGCTTGCTACATTAGTTAAGCAATTAATTGTGAAACAAACAATTGCTAATATTATGAAAATAATTGAAAACATTTCAGCTAAATTTTGTACAAAATGTAATATAAATTATGGCTCAGATATTTTTAATTTGTGGCATATGCCTTGAAACAAAATCTTCAGGAAATATTTTTATATAACTGGGAAGCCATCTAATACATGAAACTATTTATAATAAATTAACATCCATTAGTGAAGGCTGAGACAAAATTCTTTTACATTCTGTTTTGTATGGTATTGTTTAACCATTGAATGAATTCCTTTCAACGATGAAGTTAAGGATCGATTGGGTTATTTGAACGCGCTTTTAACTTATTTTTATTATTAGAAGTTTGATTAAATATTCTATTTGATCATAAGCAGCTTGTATTTAAAAAATTTTACTAACATATTTTTTAATAATTTATAAACTTCCAAACTTTTTAATGAACACAAATCTTATGAATCAGTCATTAAGGATGTATTGACAAATTTTTTCTGCATTGTTTGTAAGCAAACAATATGCACTTAGTGACTGTTGAAAAAATTGTTAGAACTGGTCGAAAATTTTTTTAAATAATTGGAAAATATATTTCTGTATGATATATATAATTGATCGGAAAAATGTGGATAAAAATTAGCATTAACCGTACCGAGAAAAAGCATTGCATGATCTATGAATGCAAGTAATTAGATGCATTGTTGAGAACATTCATATTTCCGGATTTCTTTCCAAATTTAGACACCGACAGGATGCAGTGCTGAAATGGTCGATGTCAAATGCAGACCCACCTTTCATACATATCTGTTTTGTATCTTGTTATGAAATTTATCGGCGTCAAACTTTCAATAAAATAGCAAAAAATAAATAAGTTTTAAAATTACGAAAATAGATTGCAAAATGCCAGACAAAAAACATGCACCTGTATCAATATAGGCGAGCTGGTCAAATATTTATCAACGCGAATTATTTGTTTGATGAAATTTCGTAACGCAATTTATTGAGCATTTGTTTATTTAAATAGGCGTGTAGCATATTACTTCGTTGATCTATTCAGTTTGAACAAGATGAGTTTGTTAAGAAATTTTTGCGGCATTCTCTTTTTCACGTTATTTGGAAGTTTTGCAAGGACTGCTGATGACGGTGAGATGCTTAAGAAATTTAAGTTGAATCAAAAAACTTTTGATTACATCGCCACAGAATTAATATTTTATAATTTTATTTGAAACATCCCCTCAGTCGTCATCTCCTTTCCAAGCAGTCTGCAGCTCAGTCTGCCAATAAAGAACAATGCAAAGTACACCGTGCACCTGTCAAGAGAGCAAGTTGATGCTATCGATGCTAATGTCTTCGAAGATCTCCATGGAACTCAGTGGCATATGAATAAGTTGGAGGTAAAACTTCTTGAAAAATAGATTTGATTATAAATTTGTCAAAAATTAAAATGTTGAAACATTGTAGCTAGTTAGGAATTATGGAAATCTTGCCTCGTTTATAGTTGCTAAAGTCATTGAAAACGGAGTCCTCAAAACCACATATGTAAGTAACAATTTTGTCAAACGTTCAATTTGAAAAATTCAGTGGGCATTTTGTAACTTATTTTGAAAAAAAATCCATCCGCTTTTTTTTGTCAATTTTTTTTCCTTTTAACTCTTTCGTCATCACATAAATGTTCAGAGCGGATCTCAAGAACGATCTGCTTGCAATATTTATTGAAAAGCACCGTTGAACATTTCTGCATGATAAAAATAAATTGATTTGATTGATTGATTGATGCACTGTTTTTTTGAATAAATACATAAAACAATCAGGTAGGAGATTTTGTACATGACAATGAGAGTTACAGCATGTTTCCGAACACATTGGAGCACAGATTGGACAGGAAGGAGACATTGGAAGAGCACCCAGTTGTGCTCAATGGAGTAGAATACGTGGTGGCCCTTAGGAAGCCACTGCCGACAAGCATGAACGGTCAATATCAAAATTGATTTAAAATTTATTAATTAGAAAATTGTGAAAAAAAATGAATGAATTTCTAAACAGATATAGTGCTGAAGCCACCTACAAACACGGTTTACATGAACGGACCGAAATTATCAAATTCTGAAGCAGATGAGGACCTCAACCGTGCCAAGCGACACAACAATGACGTCACAGAGTTGGTCGCTGAAGTCTTGTTTATTATTGATTACTCCGTTTATGAGAAGTTGGTTTTTATTTTTCAAAAATTTATAAATAAAATTTTAGTTTTCTTTTTTTGCCTATTTGAATTTTGCAACTTTTTCGCAGCCAATAAATTCAACTATAATTCGTATTATACCTAATCACTAAAGATCTTAATAAATTATTATCTAAACTGTTCTAAATTATAGAAACTATTTTTTTTACAAAAAAAAAGGTTTTTAAATTTCAACCGACGCAATAAAGACGAAGCCATCCAGATGTTGAAACACTACTTCGCCCACATGGCGCACGGGGTATGAGACTTAGAAAGTAAAAAAATCGTTTGTGTGGTGATCGACAGGGGACAAGAAGATTACTATCCAAGTGGCTGCACATGAGATTGGATATATGTAAGCGTTTCTAAATAATATAGCCTAGTTCTGAGTTGCTGCATAGAGATCCCCGAATATCATTAAAAACGTAGTAGTCATTTGCGGTTAATTTGATAATGGATCTTACATTTAAAAATGTTTTTGTTATGTTTTCTCATTGAGTAATTACCAATAGAAAAAATGTTATTTAAAACTTTGTCCGTACTTCAAAACGTCATTTCTAATTTGTAACTATTTTCTAAAAGAAACTGTAAAATAAAATTACGTTTTTCAAAATATAAAACAGTTTGCTTGCTAGAATCAGTTTCAAAATCGAAAACAAATGTTTCCAACAGTTTGGGTTCACCTCACGACGAAGAGGAAGGAAATACGTGTCCTGCCAGGTATAGGTACATCATGACCGCCAGGTACAATTCATTCGGCAGAAATAACCACCACACATTTTCTTCTTGCTCCAGGGAGTATTTCCAGAATTATGCTCACAAATTAGACAGGTGAATTTTCGGAGAAAATTATTTCAATTTTTTTTATAATAAATTTGTCCTCTGAAATAATTTGAGATTAACTGTTTTACAATTATCAGCATAGGACAAAATTGCATGTTGAAATCAAGAACAAACAGCAACAACGAAGACCTGATGAAGCATGTGAATGTTTTGCCGAGAACCAAATATTCTCTGGATATTCAGTGCCAAATGTTATATGGTCCCAATGTTATTTCATGTCTTGTTAGTATTATCAGTTTTAAGATTTTACTTTTGTCTTTATGATTTCAAATTGTAACTTCTATATCCTGAACAAATTTTAAAACCATCTTCAAATTTCTACCATTTTCAATAAGCCGAAAGGTTCAACTAACAGCTCTGAAAATAGTTGTAAAAAATTTTATTGTGATTTGCGTAATGATGGCTGTACCGCTGCTCGCTCGAATGTTCTGCCTGGTACGCCGTGCGGTGACAAGATGTGGTGCCTGAATGAAAGATGTGTCAGCAACTCTATCAAGCCTGATTTCAAAGGTCTGGTTGAGTAGGATTATTATCTGTTGTTTTTTTTCACTGCAAAGCTAATATTTTTTTGTAATTTCCCGGTAACATCATTCTAATTTTAATGAAACTCAGGATTAATTTTAAATAAAATAAATGTTAAAGATGAAAAAAAACTTATGATACTGAATGTAATGGTTTTATATTCCGAATTATTCATGAAAATGTACAGAAAACGAGACAACTCGCAAACCAGACAACTCAGCACCAGACAGCCAACTTCCCAAAAATTGGTGCATCCAAGATATGTATGCTCAGTTGTGCGTAAATATCCTAAAAGATGAGAAAAGTAGAAAAGAGAAATGCAATGAATTCTTGTACGACTGCTGTAAAACGTGCGCTCCATATGTTTCAGGTGGTTTTTCAAATTTTAACCATTCATATTAAAAGAATTTGCCTGCAACGGTTAAGGTGTTCATTATCTTTATTAGAAAGAATCGTTCTAATTGTAGGAAAATGAACTAAATTTTCAAATGAATAATTTTCAATTTCAATTTTTTTTCAATTTACTTTAAACAAGATAATTTTGTAGCATAAATTTACCATGGAAAGGTACAGACAGCCGAGCAACATCAGGCAGACCTGACACCTCGGTGCCCAACAAAAACACCAACCCACCATGGCAAGCCCCCAAAGAGGCATGCACTCAAGATAAGCATGCCCAATGGTGCAATGAGTCTCTGAAAACTGAAAATACTAGAAAAGCCTATTGCAAAGACTACATTAATTCCTGCTGCAAAACGTGTGCTCCGTACGTTTCAGGTGGTTTTCAAATGTAACATTTTAAATTACATTGAATTGAATTGTGTTTGATTTTTAATATTTCCAGGTTAAATGATATGAAAATGAAATCGGTTCATGTCATTCACTAAATAAACTATTTGAAGAAAAAATTTTATCGTATTTATTCCATTTTATGACAAAAATTATTATTTATTATTTTAAAAAACATCTTGGTAAGATGGTAAAATTGGTAAGCAAAAGAAAATTAAAATAAAAGCATTAAAGATTAATATGTTTGAAAGGGTTAGTTCTGAATTACTACTACGAAAAACTATTCATTATGAAGTTTTCTTATAAAATAATATTAATATGAACGTGTATAAAAGCGCCTAACATTGAAAAGTTGGGTCTTGGTCTTTAATCATTTAGTTCTTCAGTAATTAACTTTAACATTGTTATTAGTAAAATGTCACTATAATAACTATGATCTAAAAATCATGAATTGATAAAATAATGTTAAATAATTTTTGATGAATAAAATTTTAATGATGATTAGAAAAAACATCTCATTCAGAATAATTTGTTGACGTTCATTGAAAACAACATTATTGAATCAATTATCGCTAGTGTTTGACAAACATTTCCATGAAATGTTTAATGTCAAAAAACAAAAAAATGAAAAAGTTAATTGATATCAACAAGTTAGAAAAATTGTGCATATATAAATAAATAAAATAAATAAATAAATAAACATAAATAAAAGACAAACTCAATAATTTCTAATTAACGAGTTGGCTTCAGTTGAACCGGACTTCTGAATTATTACAATGAAATTTCCACACATTTTCTCCATGCGATGCAAATTGATTTGCGTATTGAACAGTTTGTCAAATAGAAAAGTTTCTATGGAAATTAATAACTGCATTGTGTACAGGAAGCCCGATGCAATTAGTTGATCGAAAGCACTCTAGGCGTGTGTGAATATATTTAATTCGACATACTTTACATTAAGCTTAAGCATATATAACTTTAATTATAAAACTGTTGATCTCAATTTCCAACTCTGATACTTCCATGTGTTAAATCTTTTAAAATTTCAATGAAGTTTTACAAAAATGTAAATAATTTATTCACTGTTTTTTATGTTTAATAAAAAAATTTTTATTAATTTTCAAAGAGTTAATGATTAAAATTGTTAATTGAGTATTTTTATTCAATTAAATTTCGTGCAATCTGATTTTCACGAAATATGGAAAATTGTATTGTATTATGTCGTGTCTAATGACTGCCTATATCATCAGTCTATGTTTTAAACATTTTTCAAAGTATTCCACAAGTAGGAATTTACCGTTTGAAAAACTTTTATTTATAGTGCTCACTCATGATTGGATATCTTGTAAAAATACTTTCATTGTAATCAACTGTGATGTGGAAATGAAAATGACAAACTTCATTATCTTGCGCTGAGGAACGTCTCTGTCATGTATCTCAATTAAAATATTCACTTGTCTCTGAGATACTTTGTTTAAATATTTGAACATTTCAATTCAAACATTGGTTTTAAAAGTAATTTCGAAATGTAACTTCATTCGGATTGGCGAAAATGAAGCTATGTTGCAAAATTAAGAGACTTTAAAAACAAAATGAATAAAGTCATAAAGTCTGAATTAAAGAAATACGGAAACAACACATCAGTGCGTGGAATATCAAAATTTTTCAAATCAAACGATATATTCCTGAAATCCTTATGGGCGATTTTGTTGTTGGGATGTACGACCTACCTGGTTTACAGGCTGCACCAGTTGTTGGATGTCTACTACACTTATACAATAACAACGGAATTCGGTGAAAAGGTTTAGTTTTTTTTCTTTTCTTTCATTTTTTTAAATCGCGATGCTTAAAGGAAAATAATAAAAAAAAGCCTGAGAAAAGTTTGAAAGTTAGATGAAATTGATTCTTTGATATTTATTATTTAGTTGATGGTATCATAACGTAGCCTATCATTTAAGATGATTGTGTGTGCTGACTTTGTGGGTCAAGCCTCTAGTGTTTTAATTCTTTAAAAAAACTGATAAAAACTTTAACCTTTCCAGTGGAAAAAAATATTTCTTGAAAAATTGTTGTAGATTTTTTAGCCAAAAAACATTGTAGTTGACCCGCAGATCAGAGAAAACAAAATTTAAAAAGCAATAACGACTGAACTTAAAAAACTACTAAACTTACGCTATCAGCAAAAAGAAAAAATTGCCCAAGTTGATAAATAAAAGTTGATAAATAATGATATTAAATTTGTTTATTGAAAAAATATAAGTTGGATTTTTGATTTTTAGTAGCTTTATTTTATTCATCAAATTTCGGCAAAAAGTATTTTAAAATCTTTTCGTTTTAAATCATCAAATATATGCGCCCTATCTACAAAAGAAATTTGAGAAATAATTTAAAAATTCTTTGATATAATTGCAAAATTATGAAAATATCTCAAAATGACTTTTTCACAGTTTGATGGAAGCATTGTTTTCCCAGACATCACGATATGCAACTTGGATCCTTTTGCTGCTGGTGAACCTGAAGAAATGTCCATGAATGAATATTTTTCAAAAGTTGATGAAGTAAAAAATAATTTCATTCAAGAACTACGGGACAGAGTGGACAAAAATCATTATTTTAATTTTGAATTTTTCACAAAAATATTCAAAAAAATGAAAACCGTATCGGGTTTCATTATAAACTTACAGAAAAATTATCAAAATTCCACTGATTGTCCTAGCTTTATTGTAGATTGTAGTTTCTTTGGTGCAAATTGGTTAGAACTGGGTAAAAATTGTTCCATTGATAATTTCTCAAAAACCTGGAATCAAAATTATTTAACGTGCTACACATTGAAAACAAGCAGTTTACAATTTTCTTCCTCGAATCTTGTCAGGGAAATGAGTTTGTTGCTGAATGTTGGTCCAATCAGAAACACGAAAATGACCTACCAATCTTCCCTTTTGAATTCCCAATCGAGAGGAGTTAAGGTGAGTGTGCACAGTCCTGGAACTCCTGCGGACCTCAAGCGTGGATTCAATGTGGCTCCTGGAACTGAAAATATCGTCGAAATTACTCAAACTGAAAGAAGACGTTTGAATAAACCTCACAACAAGTTTGTTGAATATTATAGATTCTTTCAATTTATTGACTGCTTATTTATTATTAGTTCACTGTTTTTTTATAAGTCATTGTTTATTTATGTGAAACTTTAGTTTAAAAACTTACAGATTGGGTTGTACTAAGCAGCAAACCATGAACAATTTGTCCTCAATTAAATACACGTACAATATGTGCAGAGAGAACTGCTTACATAAGTTCATATGTCGAAATAATCAATGTAAATCGCATTTGCTGTATTTATTGGATTCGGAATTAGAGAAGTTACCATATTGTGGAAATTTTAGTTCATTTTTCAACATGCCTGCCAATGATTCAAATATGTTTGATACACTTTTTTCTAAACTTTGTGGACTTTTTGTCAAGGAATATGGTATATTTCTTTAGTTAAAATCATTTTCGTTTTTTGAATCATAATATTTTTATAAAGACGATCTGGACAATATTATTGGTGAGTGTGCAGATAATTGTTTGTCTCCATGCAACGAAATGTTATATCAATACTATATAACATCAACAACCTGGCCACCACCTTCAATACAACTTGACATTTTTGAGAATTTTTTCATTGGGAGAGGTTGCATGGATTACCCAGAAGTTATGCAAAGATACGTTAGTTATTTTAGTCAGTCATACCAGAAATAAGAAAAATCTACATAGTAAAAAATATGTATTCACAACTCTTTTGAAAATATATTAATATAAATTTATATAATTATAAATGTGTAAATAAGTTTTTTATTTATTTTACTTATTTATTGTTAGATAGATGGTTTATTGATTTCATATGTTACTCTACACAAATCAAAATTTATTTATTGCTTATTTTTAATAAAACTAGTTTTGGATTTATACGTTGAGATCCAAATTGCATTAGAACTCCTTAAAATATTTCATTATTATAAGTATCTCAAATAATATAATCAATTCTAGCATGTTTCTTTAACAATAGAAGGGTATAACTGCAAGCCGGTCGTGCGGTTAAACCTACGCCACTCACGGGGCGTATTGAACACCGGGGCACGTTGAACCAGTATTAAATAACTGCTGCTAAGCAATTTCATTGACATAAAAAATATTTTTAAATTAAAAAATATTAATTAATATCAACTACAACAGCCAAGGTGACCCAATAGATCACGTTCTTTCAAAACAATAGCACAAACTTGCTTCACACCATTCTGAGCAACAATTCTCCACGGATGATGTTTTGTAGTAATTAATTTCTGTTTTGTCGATGTTGTAGATAGCCTATGGTTCACACGTTCATAAACTGCTGACAAGTTATTAAAAATGCGGAACGTAGATCTATTGAAGCCTATTGTCCAAGCAATAGATGTTGCCTCAGGTTCTCTGACTGAGAGGTGTATGTGTCTTCATGAATCCAGAAAACCAATCAGGTATTTCGTCAAGCAAGCATCCTTCGTCATCAGTACAGATACTTTTCTTAGCTCACCATAATTATAGCGGAGAAGGCTGAAACAGTTTCGAGACTGAATTTTTACAAACCTATAAAGATTTCGTTTCATTAATTTTTAACCTTGCCCACATTTTTTTTTTATAGAGAACCTTCAGACCAAAGCCCTTTCTTTGGCAACCTCTTTGTTTATTTATGTTGTTTTAGAAATTCTTTTTCTTCTAGCAGTATACAGTTTCACTGGTGACTCAATATGAACATGCGCTGATGTGTTTAATTGAACTTTGATTATGATGGTTAAGTATAATTATATAAATAGGTGATTGTGAGAACGATGACTGACATGCATATCTGTTATAATTTTATTAGAATAAATAGGGGGACATCAAACAATGTCACACCAGAACGTTAAAAAATTTTTATAAACCGTTTGCTGAATTTCAAAATGAACTTCCTTTCTATACTTGAAGGTTAGGTTTTTTTTTTTAATAATTTTTTTCAATTCATTTTCGTAGTTCATAATTGACTTTTTTATGCTCATAATATTTTTATGCTCATATTTTAAAAATTGTTCAAATTATAATACAAAATTCAAAAATAGTAGTTAATCGTTTAGAATATATATATCTTACTGTACAACATGTCTTTTAACAAAAAAGAGCCACTCTCACTGCACCATTTAATTTATTCACTTCAATCATTTTAAACAAATTCCTATAAATAGAAATTGAGTTCAGACACGTGAATCACATGATCAAAATCATATCTAAAATATTAACAACGATAAAAAATTTTAACTATAAAATAAAATAACAAATTTCCTTTTGTGAACATTCAAACAGTTTTCGTGTTCATTCAAAACACTTTCGTCGACTCTGCCTACGTGGAGCATTACTATGAATCAATGGGAGCCACCTTGTATTCGAACGGATCTGAAGTGATGGTGCAAAGTTATGAAGAAGCGAGTGAGCATTGTCAGACAACTGGAGGAAAAATGCTGAAAATATTGAATTCAGATCAGCAAAGTGATCTTAACAATTTTTTGAACAATTCAAAGCTTAACGTGAATAGAAATAATGTGGTCTTCATTGGTTTTAGAAGATCTGATTTTGAACAGAACCATAAACTGCATTCTATTTTGAAACCAGAAGGTAATGATGTAAAACATTTTTAATTTTCTTCATTTACATTTTATATTATTACTTTGTTAAATTCTAGTATTTTTTAATAGCAATTTCAAAACTTTGATAAAATTATATAATGAATTCTAATAAATAAATTCTTTTTCCTATTATGTGCTTTTAAAAACCAAATAATTGTTTTATGTTGAAGTATTAACTTAGAGTTGGGGCTATTCAAGATAAAATAAGAATAGTAGACAAAATGCGGCCCACAAGACTTGTCTGGTCAACCAATCCATTATACTGTTATAACCTCTTTTTTAATTATTGCTATCTTTGCTATATTTGAAGTCTTTGAATCAAAAAGGATCGTAAAAAAAAGTCTATATATGTTCCTGCGCAGTATGATTTCCAGAGAGGTTTGAAGCGAAGTCGTAAATGTGATTTATGTAGTTACTTAGAATAGTTTATTGTTTCTATTACTGTTTGCATTCGAATAAATGTTCAACAAAGTTTGCGTTTGAAGCAGTTGTGTTCATCTGTCAGAACTCTTGAACCTACATAATAACGATAACTTGACGATCGTTGAAAGCTACAGCACTGGTGTTGAAAAGATAGAGATCTTTGAAGTTATAACATATAATATACTTTAAGATGTTGAGGAGTGTAAAACTAAGTATTCATTTTAAATAAACAAGGAATCAACAAAGTAGAGTAGAGGCACAGTATATATATATATATATATATAAATATATATATATATATATATATATATATTTGAGCATCTGGGCACATACACTACGTATCAATTGAATACCAAAATACCAAGAATACCAAAAATGCTTTTCTGTTCTATCACGCATAAAATAAACAAAAATTTTGGTTTTGAACTATAAAAACATAAACATGATAGAACATTTAAACATGATAGAACAAAAAAGCTTTTAAAGGTATTCCTATACCATATTCGGTGTTCGAATTGATACGTTGTGCATGTTGCCTAATGCTCAAGTATATATATATACTGTCTATACAAGTATATATATACTGTATATATAATGTGTCTCAAAAATTTGTTAATTCTTTGTTTAATGTGAATACCTAATAGTCATTTAATGAGTTATTACGATATTTAAATATGTGCAATATGACATTTTTATGTTTCATTATTATCGATGATTTTTCTGTTTCTAAATTTATTAGTGTGAAAGATTCCAGTTGCACGTTGTTGAATATTTATTAACGGATGTCTGTGTTCTATGGGTATTGACTCGGCTAGTCGTAAATTATAATGGTTGTAATTGTAACGTAAGATTTCAACATTGTGGTCCAGGATTTGTCTAGTAATTTTAGTTTTGTGTTTCTCTTTCATGTGATTTTTTATAGCACCAGTTTGTACGTGCATCGCGGAATCGCGAGTCTTCTCGATAGCTTGGTCGTCGTCATACCAATATATTCAGAATTATGGAGCCCACACTCACCAATATTACATTTAAACGAATATATTAGATGGCTATGATCAATTATCGATTCTGGCAGTTGTTTATCATCACGTGAAATGACGTTCTTTGGTTGGAGTAGTATATTCGTAGCTTAATGCTATCGTTTTTGTTAGTTGCATGAGTGTTATTTTTATGATTCTTTTCAGGCAGTTGATATGTTGTTCTTGTAATATATTACTATATCATTTTTGTTATTGTAAGTTGCATTGTTGTTGTTGTTTTTGTAGCAGATTTTTTGTTTTTTGCCTTCCATTATTTTCTGGACCATGGGATTTTTATATGCATTAGTGAGTAGTTTAGTGACTATCTAGTTCTGTTCTCCTGCTTCCTACATCAGAAAAGTGCGTACCTATAAGCTCAGTTTACAAAACAGAGATCATGCTCTTTAGATATATCTGACAACATTAACATTCACATTAAACAAACAAAGAATTAATATTGTAAAGGCACAGGATTTATATAAATGTGCATTTGACCACATGATTAACGTATCAATTGGAACACCGAAGATGGTATAGAAATAACAAAAAAAACTTTCTATAATGCTTAAAATAAATAAAAATTTTGATTTTGAACTAATAAAACTGGTAAACTCTTAGCACTCCACGTTTATGTTGTTTACATAGAATAATATTGATAAAGACTTTTAAATTTGACTCCGCCCTTCATTAATATTTATGACCAACCGAAGCGCTTTATTTTTTTCAATTTGTAAATTTTTTAACCGAAGCGCTTTATTTTTTTCTATTTTTAATGAAATTCTTCTATCATTATTTTTTATTTTTAAAACATGTTATAAACATGAGAACTATTTGTAATTTTATTTGCACATTATATTTTCATATAAAAAAGAAAACAGAAGTATCGTCTAATAATTATCGTTAGTTAATAAAGAAAAAATACAAAAAAGTTTCAAAATTTTAAATCGCATAATAATGTCGTATAAGTTCCAGGGCTTTTTAGAACCGCTTTTTTCTATCTCCTTTGGTGCGCAGCCACATAAATTCGTCAGGGTATGATTGTACGTGATCATCGCACGCACCATTCATTTTTTTAAATTTTTGTTTGGCGCATCGCCACAAATTCTCCACTCCAATTGTGTGCACTCCGCTTACGACTCGAAATGTAATGGAGTGATTTACGATTTGGTGGGTTAGACCGGTTACCTGTTATAAGCAGCCCATTGATCCGTCCAAACTGTTGTACCTAAAATTATTAAAATCGAATTATATTTCAAAAACCAACCAAAATGAATTTTAAAACATTAAACTTTATGGAACCAACCGGGCAGAACATGGCATGTCAACGTGGCTGCTATCAAACTACCAAATTTTAGATTATGTGGAACTTGAACAAAGCAGCGATAACAATTTCTTGATCATTGAAGACTATAAGCTGAAACTGATGAGTGGGAATAAGCCAAATCGTTTTCTGTGTTCGAAATCAGGTTAAATTTCAAATGTTATTAATCAAATTAAAAATTTTCATTAATGTTTCCGAAGAAATATTCGTTTTGTTCTATAGTTATTAAATATTAATCTGTCTAATAAGTTTATGAAATTTGTTTTCGCTAATTTTAAGCTGGTTGCCAGAATAAACAAAAATGTTATGAAAATGTTGAAAGTGAAAAAACCTGGTATGATGCAAGAAGTTATTGTCTACAGAAAGGGGAAGATCTAATCACATTTAATAAAAAATTTGATGCTAGTAAATTGAAATTAAAAATAAATAAAGATAAAGCATACTGGTTGGGATATTCAAAGATTAGTTGGTATTGGGAGGATGAACCAGGTTATGTTTCGCTTTTAATTGTTCAAATATTAATAAACTGTTTTTATTAATTGCTCTTTCAAAAAGTTACCAAATTTTTTATTTCAAATTTGTTATTTCGTTCAGACGTTTTCACAAAATTCACAAATTGGAGAAGAAATTCTGAAACAACTTTTTACGGTGATGAGAAAAAATGCTCGGCCATGAGTATCGACGATGTTTCACGGAAAGCAGTGGGGTCCTGCACATCAGCAGCAAAAAATCATTACGTTATCTGCATGAAAGGTACATTTTCGCATAATTTAATAATTTCTATTTTTATCATTTTTTTAAACAATTTTAAATTTTTTTAAAAATTATTTCTACAAACAATCTTACAATTTTCTAGAAGCGCCAAAATCAAAGACTCAAACTGTCAACAAACTCTGTGATAGCTATTTTACAGGTACTTTTATATTTTATAATATATCTCTCAAAAGTTTCAACAACAGAAACACGGCCTATGTAAATACACGTAAACCAACGTTTCAAGTGCATTGCACGTGATCTGGGAGGATTTCTTAGCATTCGAACCAAGCCGCTGCAACATTAGGGCCATTCACCTTAACCATTAAACCATCGCACTGCCCAAACTAAATTATTTAAATTTAATCTTAATTTCCATGTTTAACACAGAAACTGAAGAAATTATTTCTAAAAACCTAATCATTAAAACATTTGCACATTTTATTCAGTCGATAATTTCATCATTGTGGTAACATCCCTCATTATCATCATCATCTTTTTGATTTCGGCTATCATTCACTTGGTTAAAAGGTTGGTAATCTTATCTGCTCTGATGAATGAACAATGTATTAAGCGGGATGAAAGTTTTTAAATATACTTTAGACTTAAAGCTTCGTATGAATTTAAGTAGGAAAATAAAATTTAAAACCTCAGCAATCGACTTGTGAGGTCCGAAATTGACCAGTTGATTGAGGAAAACCCCTAAAATACCCACTCTACCAATGGAGAACCTTTCTACCACACCCTGGAGACAGACCCGATGAAACCCCCTTCCACTCAGCCGATACATAGGATTCCTGCTCTGCCATTCACAGACAGCCGAAAAAGCATTCTTTTAACCGGCGTTTCTTACAGCAGCGAGGATCCTTACAGCACCATTGGTAATGAGATGGTTACTTATACCAGTGCCAAGAAGAACAAATGTAAGGCTGAATTTAAAAAAGCTTTCACTAATGCCCCTACTAATGCTTCTACCACTACCACTCTGGCCATTGATACAACTGCAGCTACTGCTACAGTTAATACTGCTGTCACTACTGCAGCAGCTTCCATTGCTACTACTGCAGCTGTTACTACTGATGTCGCTGGTGTGGCCCGTGGTGAAAACAACACAATGATGGGAAAGTCGACCGATGCAATGTTAGATATTCACATTAATTCAGTTAATGATGTATACATAATTTATAGTGTTTAGTTTGTTTTAAATAGTTTGGTTAGAAAAAATTGTTTCATTAAAAGTATTCCTGACAAAAAAATTTATACCACACACACGCACCCACACAATCACATATCCAAATACATACACATACATACTGTGCGAGACCAGGGACATACATAGATAAAGGTTGAACTCGGAAACGATTGCATGCCTAACCATGGCTCGTTCATCAAAACGGGTTCATACATACATACATACAAATACATACACATACATACAAATACATACACATACATACAAATACATACACATACATACAAATACATACACATTCATCCAAATACATACGCATACATACAAATAAATACATATTCATCCAAATACATACAAATACATACACATTCATCCAAATACATACACATACATACAAATACATTTACATTTTTTTAACAAGGCTCTAAGCCTCCTTTCATTCAAACCTAAAGCAAATCTTGTAGCGCTAATTACAAATGAAATATAACCAAACATAAACCACTAATACACTTGTTCTATATAAAATAAAACATAAAAGCTTAAACATAAACATTAAAAACAGAACAAAATTTTGAACATAATATCCTGTAAATAAAAAAAAAACGAAAAAAAGCTATCTATTAAATTAATAACTCCTTTCTTGAAACTAACTAAAGTTAATGAAGTTTTAACGTCAGAAGGTAATGATGACCAGAATTTTATTCCGTATTTAAAGATAGAATGAGAAAATAGAGCCGTTTTAAAATTAGGCACATAAAAATCAGGTGTTAGTCTTGTTGGTTTCTGAATTATGGTCGAAGATTTTATTAAATTTTTGTGAAAATATTGATATTTATTTAAAATGATCATACATCCAAATACATACACATACGTACAAATACATACACTTACATCCAAATGCATACACATACATCCAAATACATACACACACATACGCATAGTGCACGATAATCTTTCAAATTTTAGACAGACTGCATTCGAACACGGCACTCCTTACGTCTAAGCTAACACTCCAGCCATTATTAACATTAATATTATAAAGTTATAAGCAAACTATCCATCTCTCTCTCTCTCTCTCTACAATCTATCTCTTACATTCTTTTTTTCTGTTTTTTCTCTCTCTCTCTCTCTCTCTCTTACATATGTTATACAGGAATGTGGATGGAGTGTGTCAATAGAATGAATGAACATCAACATCAACAACAAGTGCATCAGTTGCCAGTGAAATTTATCTGCCATTCAGGATGCTCAATAATCATCAAGTTATCTAATGCTAACTAATTTAATTATTAATTATTTATTTCATTATTAATTTCATTATTATTATTATTGTTATTATTATTAATATTATTATTGTTGTTTATCCTATTAGCTCTACAAAAATCCGTTTGCCTATCTGGTTAATTGATTAATGCAATTAATTTTTTTTCCTAACATTCCACCTAATCGAGAAGTCTATTATAGATAAATGATATTTTGGATATTTTTTTTTCATGGTTAATATTATGGTTATAATTATTATTTTCATTGCTACTACTACTACTGTTGCTACTGCTACAACTACACCGCCACCAACAACATCAACTACTACTACTACTGCTGCTACTACTACTACTACTGCTACTACTACTACGACTACTAATATTACTGTTAATAGTACTACTACTACTACTACTATTACTATTTCTACTATTACTACTACAACAACAAATACTACTACTACTTCTACTTCTAATTTTACTTTTACTAATACTGTTGCTACTACTACATTAATTTTTGTTTTTATTATTACTATTATAAATAATGATAATTGAAATTATTATTATTATTATTGTTATTAATTATCTATTGTTATCATTAACATTATTATGCCAAAAACTTCCGCTGGTGATAGCCTTATAATTTGACTTAACTATTTGTTCTGTTGCTTAGTCATCTGATTAATTATAATTAATTATAACCACACTAATCAGCTGATATGATTAGAACTTAATCAAAAACTCTGGGATTTTCTGTTTAAAATTTATTTTTTTTAAGAAAGAAATGTTTCCTGATGATTTAATAAATTATTTAATACCAGAAATAACTTTATTTGATTTGAATGAAATTAAAAAAAAAGGCAAACATGTGAAATGGAACCAACTTTATACTCCTTGGTAGTAATTGAGTTAATTCTGACATGGCACACTAAGCCGTGGAAGACTTTTCAAATCAAAACGAACGAGTTTGCTTGTTGGTGTGATAGCATATAAAAATTTTTGTTTTTGCTTTGGAAAAATTTAGGAATATAAAATTTTCTTTCGAGTGAGTGAATGAAAAATAAATTGTTGACGACGTGACTAACTATAGATAATATTTAATTTATTGTGAGTAGTACCTTTCAAATCCAACTATTTGTAAGTCATCCCGACTAATTTATCTTTAACCCATACTGCAGCAGAGAGATTATTCTAAATTCGAATTTGCAAGTATACTTTTACCAGATTTTTATTTCATTCCATTGCAGACCTTGACGCCTTTTTGTATTTCCATCTCCTCCCTTGATTTTCCGGTGGCATTGTGGTCTATAAAATACGCCCTGAAAAGGCCCTTATTAGCGTTTCCTAGCTAAAATTTACAAATTTTTGACACCTATAAATAAAATTCCACCTATTTATTTTTACAGATTTCTATATTTCTTAAATTAATTTTTCAAAGACGGTATTTTAATTTAATTCAAACTTAACTTTATTAACAATGGGTCAATCATTGCAAGCAAGTAAGACTCAATGAATAAACAGCGGGAATGATAAAAATAGTTCGTGTATAGTTTTGTATGGTACTTTGTCTAATTTTTTATTACTCAGAAGTCCAGTTTATGATTTTAATATTGTAGGTATTTTAAATTTCTTTCATAAAAATTACATAAGAACGTGCCCTTTTTAAATTGTGTCTTCCCGGGACAACTCCCCAAGCTTACGCCTCTATAAGTTTTTAATAGACTCTTCTTTTATTTATAATATTATGAAAATTACCTCTTTTAAAAGGCTCCCTTTCCCATAGGCAACCTATATTATATATTTCCTTTATTAAGTACTATATAAAAATTGGCCCTCTAAAAATAGCACCCCTTCAGACTATTGCCCAAAATGGGCCGTTTTAAGATGGCGTACCCGCTCCAGACAACTGCCCAGGGCCGCATCTACGACCAACCACTCGTTTTGTTATTTCAGTTTTTGTTCACAGTGAAGTTTATAATGAAAAAACTCTATAGGGCTATTTCAGTACAATAATTCCATGGTGTGGAATAGGAACTGGAAAATAGTTTTAGGAGAATTTATCATATACACACAAAAATTTTCTGCATAACAGGATGTTTATAAACCTTATAATCATCTATTTCATCGCCATCCTGATGATTCGTAATTATTCGGAAAAACTAAATATAAATAATAATAATAATATAAATAATAATACACTCTGACTAGTAGCGATAGTAAAAAAAATAAATGTTCTTGTGTATTTAATATTAATTAATAAATTATCTCCATATCTCCATATGATTAACTATGTTAATTATTCATTAATATAACCATCAATATTATCATAATTAAAGGTTGACGGTTACTCTCTCTCTCTCTCTCTCTCTCTCTCTCTCTCTCTCTCTCTCTCTCTCTCTCTCTCTTGCGTTTGCTTTTGAGGTTTTAACGACAAACACACACGCACAGCGTGTATGAATACGCGTGCAAACCACGCATCATATATGATAAGCGGGATCTTTTTGTATTAGAACCTAGTCATTGCAACAGCAAAACCAGGCGCCTTTAACCATTGGGCCATCACGAAATTAATATAGTTATTATTCTTATTTAGTTATTATTCTTATTATCCCTATCATTATTGTTGTTATTGTTATTACTATTGTTGATATATTGATATTATTATTATTATTATTATAAATTTTTAGTTGGAAGCACGTGTCGACTTTTTCAATGAAAAATTTATAAATGAATGTTTCGGCAGTTAAAATTTCTGCTGTATTAATTAATTAGATATTGAGTTATTAATTAATTTTAGCAGAAACTAATGATAATAATAATAACCAAAAAATTCTTACTATAAATAAAGAAATAATTAATTAACAGTCATCTTCCTTGTTTATTATAGATTATATTATCACTACCAGTTGGTTGGTTGGCTGGCTGGCTGGCTGGTTGGCTGGCTGGCTGGCTGGTTGGTTGGTTGGCTGGTTGGTTGGTTAGTTGGTTGGTTGACTGGTTGGTTGGATGGTTGGTTAGATCAGACATCTCATCATACAAGACAATTCATCATTGCAACATTACAATATTTATTCATATTATTCTTCGTCCGTTGTTTTGTTATCCTATCATATAATTTATTATCTTTGCCTTACTTTGAGTATTGCCAATAAAGTTCTAACGACGTTTCGGAAGCAATTTTGAAACAATTCTTAGATATCAGAGATCTTGAACGAAAATATGATGCCAAAAAATAGGAATTAAGAGTGGAAATCGAAAAGCAGAGAAAAATGTTTTCTATTGAGAGCACCCAAAAAATCAATCTTGAAAATTCAGAAGATGTTGGTGTCAACGAAGATGCCTTCTTGCCCGAGCCATCAAAATGTTTGTCACAAATGAATGCCGACAAAACTTCTTATGAGAATGGGATGTAACTAAAAAAGATGGTGTCGGTGAAAGTGCTAACGTACATCAGTCAAAAGAAAATGACACTAAGGAGGCAGATACAAATAATAAACTTCGTTGATGACTACTCTCAAAAATGCAAATATATGGAGTTCGTATGAAACGATATATGAACGATTTTAAAAACAACAAAAATCACATTCAAGAATACATGGATCACATGGAAAAATACATCGATTTTATGCAAACCCACGTGACCCATCAAAATTTTCCGATAAGTCCTATTCTAAACCAAAGATGTCTCGATGTAATAACAGCCTCTAGACACGAAAGGCTTAACACACAAACATCATAACATGAGCTTAGTAGGCCCTGGCATTAAACTATCGCTTTGTTAAATAAATGACCTTTGCTAAAACTGTCTTTGTTTATTTGTGGTGCACGTTGTTTTATAACGCTGTCGAGTTTCAATCATCGTTCATTTACTGAAAATTTTTGTATCATTAATTGTTAATTTTCTTATTTTTAAATAATTTTACATTTTATTTAATATTTGTAATTATGTATAAAATGGTGAATAAATGTTCAGCTTACGGATGTAAAAGTGGATACAAATCAACTGCAGCAAATGACGAAGAAAAGCGACGTATCGTTTCCCGTCTACCCATTAAAAAATACAGATTTGCGCGCTAGATGGGTACGTGCTAATCCTCGTAAAGATTATTTTCCAAACAAATATTCCATAATTTGTTCACTCCACTCTGATCAAACAGATTTCGTAACATGTTTTAGCGATTGGTATAAAGGAAAATTGAACAGAACTGTGGGGATTGCCAGTAGGGAGAGACAAAGAAGAAAATTAAAAAAAGAATCAGTACTATCCAAATTTCAGAATGCACTTTCCTATTTGTCCACTCCAAAGCAACAACCTGATCGACAACAAAATCTTCATCAGCTATTCGTCTCGTGTTAGATATTGAAAGGGCAGATAAAGCAACTGAAGAGTTCCTAAAAACTGATTTTCTAAATAATTGTGGATTGAATGATTTAAAACAACGTTTATTTGAAGAATGCACTTTCCCCTCAAATTTTGAATTGATGGACAATTTTTTGATTATATACAAAATTGAAATTAAAAATAATTTTCCATTACAAGAGAGGGAAAAAAGAAAGAAAAACATCATTATCTACGGGGTACCAGAGTCTTCTGTTCCAAATCCAACAGATAAAAGAACTGAAGATGAAGCGAAAACCAAAGAAATAATGAAGATGATAGATAAAGTAGATATTAAGGTTGCATACTCAAGAAGATTAAGATCAAAGGATACAACAAAACCAGGTCCATTATTGGTTGATTTGACAGATGCAAGTTTGAGAAATCCAGTTCTCCTTGCTGCCAAAAAACTCAGAGACGTTGAAGAATTCAAATCTGTCTAATATATCCAGATTTGACAGAAGCTGAGAGACAACTGGACTATGAATTAAAGCAACATCGAAACAGTTTGAATGCAGAACTTGATGCGGACTCGCCCTTTCGATATGGCATCCGTGGAAATCAAGTACAAAGATTTATCAAACGACGTTAACTTAAATTTAACCCGTGATAGAGCAATTTTTTTAAAAAGACACAAAACGCTACGCTGCATGTATTTGAATGCTACTTCACTGGATAATAAAATGGATGAATTTAGAGTTGTTATTGGGACGCATCATCCATCAATTATTGGTGTTAGTAAAACATGGTTTAAAGACAGACCAATCGTTAACATAAACAATTTTAAAGTGTATAGAAAAGATAAAAATGATGGACGTTGTGGTGGTGGAGTGTGTTTGTTTATCAACTCATCTGTTAATTCATACGAGGTCACAGATGGTGTTTGAAGCAATGTTGAACAGGTGTGGGCAGTAATTTATTTTGAAAACAATAAATATTTAATTAGCTGTATCTATAGACCAGATACAAAAAATTGTGCAGAAGCCTTTGCTGTACCTATTGCTTTGATATTCTAAGCTTCATTGGCTACCAGCCAGCTTCCACTTCAATTCAGATCAGCAAAACGTTACACCGATTTACAAAAAGACGACAAAACGGTACCAACAAATTATTGCCCAGTTTCTTTGACGTCGGTTCCATGCAAAATAATGGAAAGTATTATACGTGAAAAAGTAGAAGACTATGTTTTTAGAAATAATATAGTATTGAATCAACGACATAGTTTTGTTAAAGGAAAGTCATGTACAACAAATCTTCTTGAAACTCTGGATTTTATTTCTTACAATTTGAATAATTCTATTCCGGTAGTGTGGTCCTCCTCGATTTTGCCAAGGCATTCGATACTGTTCCTAACTGAAAATTATTGGCTAAATTGAAAGTATATGGAATAAGCGGTCTGGTTTATAATTGGATTGACTCATTTCTTAAAAACAGAAGACAAAGAGTTGTTCTGGGTGAAATTGTTTCGGATTGGGTTGAAATTTTTAGCGGTGTTCCTTTGGGTCCTGTTATTGGTCCTTTGCTGTTCAGTTTATATATTAACGACCTGCCAACTAATCTAGAACTTACAACAAAGTTGTTTGCAGATTATACAAAAATCACGAGTTCAGTTTCATCAAACAAGAAAATTGTTGAACTCCAATCTGATCTGGATACGGCATTCAAATGGACCCAAGACTGGCTTTTGCGATTCAACGTTGAAAAATGTGTTGTAAGGCATTACGGATCAGGTAATAATAAATGTCCTCTGTATATTAATAGAAAACGCCTTTTTGAGTCTGAATCTAAGAGAGACCTTGGAGTGATTTTTTCAACTAATCTTAAATGGAAGAATCAAGTCATATCGGTATCTAACAAAGCGAATTGGATGCTTGGTCGAGTGAGGAAATCTTTTGGAAGATTTGATAATAAATTTTTCCCTAATTTATACATAACATTTATTCGTCCACTTTTAGAGTTTGTGGTGTCAGTTTGGTCTCCAGGTTAGAAGGGTGATATTGAAGTGATTGAAAGAGTCCAGCACAGAGCAACAAAATTAGTTCCTTCTATGAAAAATTTTGCTTACATCGATCGTCTCAGAGAATTGGATCTAACAACATTCTTAGAAAGAAGAAAAAGACAGAATTAATTTAATAAATCAATTCAATAATGTTGTAACTAGAACGCAAGGTCACAGTATGAAATATTACAAAAAAATAACAAGACATAGAAGCAGAGAGAATTATCTATTCAATAGAACAGCAAATATCTGGAATTCATTGCCAAAATAACTCGTCGATGCGCAAACACTAAATAGTTTTAAAGCAGGTATTGATTAATTATTAATCAATTAATCAACGAATCGGCTGTGCTAGCATGTCTGACAGCATGCTCTCTGGATAAATTTCCAGAACAGCATTACTACTACTGCTACTACTATTACTACTACTACTAGTTGAATGTTCAATGATGATCAGGGAAAATTATGAAGTGACAGTGCATCATCAAGGAATAAAACTTCCTCATTCATTCATGAATAATATTATTAAAAAAGATTTAACAAGGATTAGTCAAATATTAAATGTCCTCGCTCGACTAAATGGATATTAAACTGAAAATTCTACAAAAACCAATTTTGAACTACAAAAAAGGTTACTAAACATCAACTATAAGCTTGTTTAATTTTTTTTTGATGGGATTTATGACGAATATTTTCAATTAAAATTTATTGATGGCATTAGTTTTAAAAAAGAAAACAACATTATTGAATCAATTATCGCTAGTGTTTGACAAACATTTCCATAAAATGATTAATGTCGAAAAACAAAAAATGAAAAAGTTAATTGATATCAACAAGTTAGAAAGATTTTGTCTAACAATCATAAAATTAATCGTAGAGCGCAATGCATATAAGTGATAAGGAAAACGTCATTTATATAACGCCGTATTTGCGGGAGCCCACAAACATAGAAATCTTCATCAATACGGACAGTATCTCATTGTTCTCCTTGGTCTGCTGTGTCCTCTTCCTCTGTTTGACAAGCGCTCATGTTGCCCGTCTGTAGCAAACCTCGGGACAAAAGTTTGATACTGTGGCACATAAGTTGAATAAGAACTCCTTCCTCTTCCAATCACTCCCCTTCCGGTTCTCGCACCCCTTCCTCTGGGCCTCCTGTTTGTGGTCGACAATTTGTACCTGTTTGTCCTTTTTGTGTTTATATTTATTTACCTCCCTCGAAACAGCGATTGATTGAGTTTCAGATCCACAGAACCAGCGTCCTCAAATTCAATATAAGCGAAACCTTTTGGCTTGCCACTATATTTGTCGAGGAGTATAGTCACTCTGATGATAGCGCCACAATTTAGGAAATGTTCCTTTAATTCTCTCACGGATGTTCCGTAGTCGACGTTGTCGATCCATATCGATCTGGCGTCGATCTCTGACCTGTCGATAGCTGGTGAAGCACCGACACTAGCTGTTGCAACCATCATTTTTTCCATTCACTCGTTTTCCGAAATTTTCAGTTTTTCCGACAATTCTTCACTCTTTTGAAGACTTTTCTTCATTTCTTGAACTTCTGCATCTTCAAAGTCATCCACATTTGAAATCTCATCTGAATGACCGTTAGTTTTATTACTTTTATTATCTGCCGACATTTTTATATCCTATCAGATAGTAACTGAAACGAATATTTAAATTTTTGTACGCTTATAAATTGAATTTAAAGCCTGATTATCGGAGTAAACGTTTTAACTGATTCAGTTATGAAGCCAAAACTCTGGCTGGAGAAACTGCTTCATTTCCTTGTTAATATACAACTTGTAAAATTTTACAAGCTATTTACAATTTGGTTCACTTTATTCAGTTTATTTGCAACTGCATAGTCAATGTTTTCAACAATCATAGTTGATAGTATCTTTATTAGTAATCTTTATTCTTATTTCTTTTTTTTTAAATTTTATGGGAGCTCTAAACATTCTTCTCCAACTAATAGAGTAAATGCTCGCAATTGAGATTTTGTCTTGCTAATTTAAAAGTAATTGGTCCGCTTAAATAAGCTACACGGCGTATCGAATTTATGATAGAAAGTGAAGTTTAATTAATTAGTTTAATTTTTAGCCGTCAATTTAATTAACAAGATCGTGTTAATTGAACTGTGGGACGGTGAAGACGATGACGACGCCAGAAATTATAGCATCTGCAATGATGCAATATCAAAAAAGTTGATAAAATGACACACCCACACTCTCACACACACTTCAAGTTGGAATGTATATGTATGTATATAACAATTATAAATGGATTTAATCATTCAGAGGAAACCTATCATTTATTATATATTTTTTAAATAGTTAATTAATTTTTGTTATAAAAAAAAACTTAAAAAATTTCTTTTGCTGTTTCAGGTAGGCAGGTAGGTGTTAAAGCAGAATATTTTATTTCAAGATATATCTAATTTGAGAAAACAGCTGAGGTTTGAGCATATATAGGTAATTGTCAATTATTTTCAACTTTGACGCATTCGTTTTGTGAAGTTTCAACATGCTCAAAGTACTTGTGTTTGTCGGGTTGTTGCTTTGCCAGTACATTCAAGTAAATCTTATAGAAAGGCACAAGAAAATTTTTTCGTAATTTAAAAACTTTAAAAAAATTTTTTCGAAAAATATTTTAAAATTCAATTCTTGCCAATAAATGTGAAAATTTCTGAACAAACAATCAGCCACGCTTCATTTCCTTCGATATGGACTTCTATATTTTATAGGTAGCCTGTGCAAGAAAACAAAATATGGAGATATATGAGAAAAGAATGGGGCACGAGCAACTAGACGAGCAGCAGAGTTAAAAGCTTTACTTAAATGATAGTGTGTAGAATCAGGAAGACCATAGTAGAGCGAGTTACAATAATCAATCGTAAACAAGACTAACGAAGTAACGAGAAGGAAAACAGTAGGATCGTCAAGAAAAGAAAAAGTTTTTTTATTTTACGTAGATGATAGAAAGAACTTCTAGTAACACTATTAATCTGAGAAAAAAGAAACATACTAGAATCAAAAATAAAGACTAGACTACGAAACTTGTAAGAAACATCAAGAGTTTTAGAATCAGGTGAGATAATAGGAAGAGTAGTAGTAGAGTGTTTAGATTTATTAAAAGAAATTAATTCAAATTTAGGAGGATTAAGTTTAAGACACATAGAGTCAGACAAAACGATAATTGAAACAAAACATAGAGATTGATTATGAAGAACACTATTGAGATGAGATGGAGGAAAAGAAGTATAGATATAAGAATCATCAGCATATAGTTGACTAGTGCAAAAAAATTATTAATAATATGAGAATGTTCAGAAGTATAGAGTATAAATAAAAAAGGGCTAAGAATAGAACCTTGAGGTATTATGAGTGGTTTAATTATGTTCTGATTTATAGAAAAAGATATAATTTTTAATATGATCTTTGATCGCTTTTGTTTTTTACTTTGGAGGATTTAGAAGGTGGGGACGAGGACAACGCTGATGATCTCTTCATATCCGAGGCCAAAGATTGCACGTCATCTGCATTTTTAACCTTATGTCAAAGTTTGGGTGGGATGTGTCGGAAAAATTTCAAAATTTATTGGAAGAAGTTATTTTAAAAGAACTACTTAATGTGACTCTAATTTTAATTTTAAATGTAGGCATACAATTTTGCGGATAGTAAAACCAAATTTTATAGAATTTGAAAATTTTACGATGAAAGATTCATAACAAAATTGTTTAATTGCTGCTCTACGAAAGATATTCATTGTAAGCTGGTCAACATCACCGTCACAAACACTTGGTGAAATGATGTTTGAAGCAATTTTAAACTAATAAAATATTAAAATAAACACTGCTGAAGCTGAAAAAATTTTATAAGATTTTTGTCAAACTTCTTAGAAAATTTAATAAAAAAAATTCTTAAAAAAAAGGAATGAAATTTTGCTAAAAAGCAGACCACAGAACGATTTTTTGGACTCACTGATCTGTTCAAATAACTTGCGAAGTTGATTGGAAGCGATTTAATCTTAGGTACGTTAGTTAAGATTTTAGTTTTTACTACGGAGTTAGTGTAAGTTTAACCTGGATTAAATATAATATAATATAATATAAATATAATAATAATATAATAAAAATAAAAATATATTTTCTTTTCTTCATTCTGTAGAGAAATATAAACTCAGAAAAAAGCAATTGGCATAGCAAGTAAAGCATAAAACACAACATTTAAAAGTGTTAAAATGACGAAAAAGGAAAATTATAGAAAAGCAAAATAAAAATAATACACGATACAGAATAAGGAACACTGAAAATGTGATATAATATTAAAGGCATCAATTAAAAATATGTTATTATAAGAAATAATTATTGTTTATATATATATATATATTGATATATATATATATATATATATATATATATATATATCATGCTTGACATTACTTAATGAGTGATTCATGTGGCTTTTTTGAAATATTTTTTGATATGCTGAACATGCGGTGAGTGCCTAATTGTGTTTGCTTTTAAGTACGGAACATTTCGCGATTGGTGCTGACAATGAATGGAAGACGTGATAGTTCCATCCACTGTTCTCGCCTGAGTAAATATGCGTCTTAATGGGTGAAAATATAAACGAATGATGGATATGAAGATGGTGAATAATTTAGACTAATAAGTTTCAAAGACTCTAGTTGATGTAGTTGTAGTGTGGCAAATACTGACCCCGACATGGCATGCGTGAAATTATTAATAACTCAGTGACCTATTCAAGTGTTAACCGCTAAATTAGAATGAAGACATCATGTTTTGAACGCGTGTAATGTCTGGAGGTCTTTTGAGATGGTGTGATTGATGTGAGGAGTTGCGTTGATGTGAAGCTGATGTCTGGTATTTTGAGCTGGTTTGTGTTTTGGAGGCAATAATAGGCAGAAGTAAATTTAAAATACTGTAAACTAATTAGAAAAAAGTATTTAACATCAATGTAAATTTAAACAAAACAGTTCAGTGGAAAACTCTTTATAAATGCACAGTTAATAGCAATAGACGCATGTATACGGAAAAATAATAAATGAAAAATAGAACATGATATATATTTTAGACGCAAAATAACACAAACAGATTTGGTTTTAAGTTCATGTTCCAGACGATCATCGCGAAAAATATATTTATACTTTTGCTCGCCAGCGAAAACGTTCTGACTAAAACTATTAAAACTAATTTTCAATAAAACCTTTCTTGTTAAAAAATTTTACGAGCTTGACAATGTTATTAATAATTTTATGATGTATATATATATAAATAAACACATGAATAGGACGCAATCTGTTAATGTTCGTCTGGATGGTGGTAGCAGGTGAAAACTTCAACTAGACTCTGACTCTGCCTCTAGACTCTGAATAGTGTTATATGTATGAAATATCGAGCAAATAGTAACAATACAAATTATTTTTATTCAAAATAATTCTTATTTTTAAATAATTTTAAAAAAATTCATAATAAATGTGTATTTTAAAAACAATAATTCTAAAAGGTAAAAAAAAACATCAAGGAGTAAGTAATAAAAAAATGTGCAAAAATACATTCACAAACTAAACTTGAACTTGAAGAACAAACAAATATATGCGCGTGCACACATCCCACACACACACACACACACACACACACACAAACACACACCACACAAATATTACACACACACAAAAACGCACGCTCGCAAACACGCAAACAACGACAACAACAAAAACAACAACACGCAACCTAATAAAGGTAGTATGCTTTTTTATTTTCTTTAGCGTTAGTGCACCAACGTAAGTGCAGGCGGATCTGACCCCTTCCAAAATGTCCCCAACAGTCTTCCCTATAGGTCCTCTGTATTCCACTTCCATGACTTTTCCTTCCGATGCTCTGTTGGTGATGATAACGATGAAAACCTTGTTGACGGTCATGATTATGATGGCGATGATTACGGTAATAATATCTGTGACAATGATGACGATGACTTGATTATAGCCAAATACAAAAATAAGGATGTTAATTTTGCAAAAGTTAATACTTTGATCAAATTTGATTTTTTTGTCATCTCGGCGTTTAATTATCAGTAAAATCAATGTAAAAACACAAAATCTCCGTAGAATTCATAACATTTTATATTTTTAGTAATATTTTAACAATCACAGATAAAAATTTAACAAACATGTGACTGACCTATAATCCAGAAGATCCGCCATATTCTGGTTATACTTTTCCATCACGACTTTTGAGGCCATCCCATAAAACTGTTTGTACTTTTTGTCGCCCCTGATGACAACCTCCCCTCCTGATTCTTCGTGGCCCGCCAACATTCCACCCAACATCACAAAATCAGCCCCAGCTCCGAAAGCCTTTGCTACGTCACCGGGACACGTGCATCCGCCATCCTGGAGTGAGATTGATTGGGTTTGGGATTCGGTTAAATGGGATCGGTTGGATTTCCAAATTATTTGTCGTGATTAGTCGGGTTGAAATTTATTTTCGTTAAGAAAGAGTAACATTGTGGTTTGGTGTCTGTGATCGATCAAAATTTTGAGTAACCTTACTGTAATTTGATGGGTTTAAATTTAGTTGACTATATTTTATTGTGCAACTCATCAGTAAAGAATATATTTCCCCAAAACAAAATAGAAAAAAATACCAAATTTCTGACAAAAATTTTAAACAAAAAATTTCCTCCACCCTCTACCAACAGAAATCACATGCCCCTTCAATCCATGGGCAGCCTCGGCACATTCCAGAACTGCCCAGAGCTGAGGACATCCCACTCCAGATTTCTCCCTTGTGGTGCACGCAGATCCGGAGCCTATGCCAACTTTCACGATGTCGGCTCCTGAGAATATGAGTTCCTTGACCATGCTGCTTGTTCCTACGTTTCCTGCCTGCATTGGTTTGTTTGCCATTATTTAAAAAATATAGTGACCCAAGCGTAGTTTTTAGGTTTATTTCAAAATCAACTCAACTAATTTGTTTATTAACGTTAATTTTTTTTAAATTTACCGTGTTTTTTATATTTTTATTTGAATATTCATAACATACATCGGACAAACTCGTTTAGGAAACTAGCAGAAAGTTCATTCTTGAATATAAATAAAAATGTTTTCGAATGTTTATTTTTTGGACAGTTTTAAACATAAACTAAGAGTGCAAAACAAAACAAATAATTATTATTAACATTAACAACAATAACAATAGTAACAATAATAACAACAACACCATCAACAAAACACAAATCTACAACTTTAATATTTAAAAGAAGGCCAAACTAACTATAATAGTGTGATGAGGAAATTGCTTACGAATGCTGCTGAGAGATTTAACGAAATGTTCCGAGTATGCATTAGCATCATCCAAACATATGTACCTCAAGTCTGGTACAGCTTTAAGTATTAATTTTAACTTCTCTAGGTCGCTTTCTTTCATGCCTGAACTGACTGCCACGTGCTGAGACGATTATATCAGAATTGTTTTGTGAAGTTATATGTTTTATTATTTATAGATAAATAACCCAACGTACATGTATCCATACGCACACAAACATACATACATACATACATACATCCATACATGCATGCATACATGCAGGCATACATACATGCATACATACATACATACACATACACACATACATACATACACACACACACATACATACATACATACATGCATACATACATACATACATACATACATACATACATACATACATACATACATACATACATACATACATACATACATACAAACGTACAAACGTACAAACATACAGGTAAAGCACTAGGGTTATTAACAGCAAACTCCGTCCATTCTTCAACAGAGTAATACTTATGAATTGCTGTGAAGGCTTTAAACTAAATAAAACAATTATTCGATTGTTTGTGTAATGTTTATTTTATTTGTTCAAGTATTTTTAACAAATATTCCATCGTTAAGATGATCAAAAATGAAAATTCAATAGTTTAATTAAGTTAGTTTGCAAAAAGTCTTAAATGAAAATCTTAAAAAAATTTAGTTCCGAATTGAAAAAAAAATTATTTAGGTAAAAGTACATTTTCTATTTAAAAAAAACCTCAAAAAATTTACATTAATATTAATAAGACACACAAACATTTGAAAAATAAGAATTCTAAATAAGTTTTCTTTGGATTGGTATGTAAAATATTCGACTTCTTTGGTTATAGTATTTATTATAAAATCAGGTTTAACCATTTATCACTAAAAGCAAACTTTGTTAGATGGAAATTGTCTTAGACAATTTAACAAATAGAAGTTAAAACGCGAACACACATAGGTGCTTGGTCACGTTCGAAACCTACGTGTGAGTGGAAGAACAACAACTCTAAACTCAACTTTGAATGACATCGTCATCAAACACGCACCAGCCAAGCATTACTCATTTTGTGAGGACTCCCATCCTCTTTGTTTTTTATCCCAAGCAGCAATAGCTGATAAAAGAAATCGTCGTCGTATGGAGCGTCACTACAAACATGAAACATCAGCGCTCAACTTCATCAACTACAAAAATGTTAAACGTGTTGCTCGTTATTCCAGTTTTTAATCTTAAAAATGTTCTCATCTTTTTGCTCTATTACTTTCTAAGCTCTGCAATCTTTCTCTGAAAAAACATTTTTCAAACTTCTTTTAAGATAGCTCAAATTTTAACTTTAATGAAAAAATTTAACCTTGATCCTTCTAATTACCGTTCTATTTCCAGCTTTTCAACTTACTCTAAATTACTCGAACTTCATCTTCTAATTTCTCTCTTTCGTCAAAAGTCATTGTTTATTTAAGCGTTCCTGAAGCTATGCATAGGACGCGCTAATATAAATTAATAATAATAATATTATTAATAATAATAATAGGGTATAACAGGAAGGAAACGTGCAAACTGCACGGAGAGCATTAGATTTGGTCGTGTAAAAAGAGAAAAAATAAGTTCAAAAGGTTGAAGTGTAGAACATGCTTCAAGAGACAAAATGTTATGTTTACATGAATCTCATTCCGAACGTAATTAAATACGATAGTTTCACATGCCTATAACACTTGTAATAGTTATGATTCACATGTGTGCATGTGTGAACCCACAAATTGCCTATTCGTATTTCAATATTGGTCTAAAAAGTGAATTTTGTCAATTAATATCATCAAACTTGCAGTTCATGTAATAAGACAGATATTTACTTCAGATAGCACCGTGGCAACCTCGAAGGTTCCCACTGTGTCCATGTTGGAAGCCATGAGTGGCACTCCTTCATACTTATTTTTAGAATTACGGAAAACATGCTCAGTTGTTAAATCCACCTACAAAAAAAGTTAACCTTGTAAAACTTTATTATTGAAGGAAAATAAGCAAAATTATTAATAAAATAATAATTAATTAAAAATATTCTGGTGTAATATTTTATATATACGTATATTATACTGGCTAAAGATAGTTTATTTCAGAAAAAATTATCGAAAATCATTACGTAATTGAGAGTGAATTCATATTACGGTTGAGGTCGCCTCTTGGTCCTGTTAGGCAGTGGTCAGATTCGAATACGACAAAAGGGTCCTCGCCTGTAACATGCATTTTGTAAATGAAATGCGTCGTTTAGTACACATTCATATATGCTGATCGAGTGTTGATTCCTCTGAACTTTGGAAAAGTGTAATAGACCTTTAACATTTTTAAACTTTCAATTGTCAAAGTTGAACTTTTAATAGAAACTTGTATCAGCACAGTTATTATTTTTGAATAATTTTTATTAAACTAATTTGTGTAATAATTAAATTATCTACATTGCTATAAAATGCATAACACACAAAAAAAAAGTTAGTTCATGAGTACTTCTAATTAAAATCTAGACCTAAATCCAAAAATTCGCAAAAATCGTTTATAAAGCTGCAATTTATCATCCACTGAAAAACATGATTAATGTTTTATCCATCAAAGTGAGTTGTTTACACCCATCTATGTTTTATTAACAAATATTTTTCAATATATCTTTATAATATCATCATTTTTATTATATATTATTATAATTATATAAGCTGGCACTTCCGTCTAAATGTAACCCATTGCATCCAGCGGATGCTAATGGGTTAACCAACCCATTAGCATCCAGGGTTCTTTTTTGAGGACACTTGGTAAAATTGTTGTAAAACTCTGTTACTCAGTTTTATGACTTTTAATTTTGTTAAAAAAGTAACATGAATGTTATCCTTTTTACATGGATGTGAAATCATTTTCATCATATTAAAATTTTTCGCACAGCACTACTCCTAACTTGTTTTCACTTTTAATTTTTAGCGTTGGTAAACTTTCAACCTTTTTTCGCCATTTTTTAAAGAAGTAAGCGAAATGTTTTGTTTTCTTCATGAAGTCTATAATCCTATTATATACTTACAATAGAATGCAAAATTATTAGTTAAATATTTAAAAAAAAATAAACTTTTAATTTGCTGTCCTCAATTGAGTACACTGGGCCTTTGAAGCTTTTTTTTGAAATTTAGTTTTGCATTATTTCATTGCAGTTTTTTTGAATTATGAGCCGAAAAAACTTTTTAAATCTTGAAGAAGCGATTGAGTATGCGTTTTCTAAAGAAATAGAAGCTGATATTCTGGCTTTACCGCCCGAAGTAGACGAACTAACCGATTGTTGTAATTGCTGAAATGATCAAATTGCGCTACATTATTTGTTATCTTAATTGCTGTTATCATTCTATATATGTAATCTTTGGATTGTAAACCATAGAGGAATTAAAAGAGATATCGAATTCATGCTAAAAATCTACTGTAGAGGCTAGATAAGGATTTGTTTCCAGCATATATGATATATATATATAGCATCATATATATATAAATATATATATGATATATATATATATATATATAGCATTATATATATATATAGATACATATATAGATACATATATATAATAAAGATACATATGTATGTGTATGATACACAGTGTATCTATATATATAGCATTCATTTGTTTTTTCAAACGATTTTGTATGCATACATATAAATATATAACGCGCATGTTTGCAAGGCTCTCATTTTTCGCATCCGTATCTCTCTTTGCATAAAATGTCGGTTAGGTTTCCGTGGCTGACGTCTGAAACAATGTTGAACATTCACAACTAAACTCACTTCCGTTCGACTTGCAAGTTTATTTGATGCGGGTTGGATTAGGACGTCCTTGAAATCAAGTTTTTTTTTCCCATCGATTTGCCACATTTTGAAATTTGATTATTTTATTAGCTAATAATACTATGGGATGCAAGTGCTCCAAGGTGCTTTGTTTACATAGAACAAAAAACATGGCACTTGAATTTTGCTTAGCTGTCAATAATATTCATCAGTTAAGTCAAAAAAGGAGTCTTATACAAACCTGTAAACCTCTAGGACCTTATAGACTTTTCAGATAGCTAATTATAGCTCAATATCATGACTCAATTGTTTCCAGGTCACGTTCAATTCAAGATGTATAGTCTTTGTTCTATTTTCAAATTTAATAATCAAACAAATTATTTTTTTATCTGTTTATATTTTCCAATTTAATTCAGTATAATTAACAACATGCAGTTCCACCGCACCGCACATATTTGCATGTGATGAGCGTTGACCTCTTGCATTTGAATCCAGCTACCACATCATTTCCCCTTACCAACATCAACATAATTCTTTCCGCCAATCAAAAGATCGGACCCTGACGCGGCAATTGAATTTTTTTATGCTTTTCAAAAAACTTTTTGACGATATTTTATTTATTAGTCATGAAAATAAAAGAAAATGTAATTTAGTATTTATAAAATTTTGCAGAAATTGGCTAGTGATAAAATTATTTATTAATTTTATTTTCATATGTTACATTAGTCTTCAATTAGTACGAAATTATTTTGATGACAACGTTTCATTCTGGAAATGAGCAGCTTGACTCGTCTGTTCAATTGAACATAATCAATAATTTACATTTTTAAACTGTTAAATAAAAACAATTTAATTATTGAAAAAAATAAATACATAAAAAGTAAAAACATAAAAAGTTAAAACAAACAAAATGTGCAAACAACAAAATTGATATTCATTCAACACAATCACATGCAATCATCAAACATGGCAAACTTGTGATCTGCTGGTAGGGACTTAACATGAATCTTTGTTCAGCGCTGGTCGGATTCAAACTTAGGATGAATCGATACTTCACTACGTTTTATCACTTATGAAACGTAATATCGTCTTGAACAAAACAAATTGAAATGTTTCAAATATATTCATTTTCCCTGAAAAGTTTTACTTACTTATAATTTCGTCATTTAAGTTTGTCTCTTCAATGTCTTCCATCTCCTCCACAGACAAATTGTTACTTCTAGCAATGACATTCATGATATTATGGGTGACAGTATTGTAATGTTTGTTAGGTTAACATTAACAATGCAATTTTATCAAGTTATTCAGATTTTATTTACAATTTAAGTTGAGAAGCCGATTGAAAAATAACACTTTATGATAACACTTTATGATGATAATGATATTATTGAAATAAAAAAAACACATTTAAACTTTTATAAAACATCACTGATCAAGATTGGTAAACCTTTTATGTGGAAGTATGAATCCATTTGAATCCTCTGGAAACGAGACCACCTGAATAAATATCTTTCTTGTACAGGGCCTCCATGGAGATATTAACAAAATTGTCTGATAAATGTTTCTCAGAAAATGTGGAGCAATGTTTCCGTTTATCTGATGACCCTGCTTTTTGGCAAGTAAATAATGAGACGCGCAATTTTGTGGCCAAATATGGCTTCAATATGGACTTTAGTAAATCCAAAAAGGAGTACAGTGATGGCAAAATACGCAGCCTCACCCAAAGTATGTTTGACTTATTAACGGAGAAAAAATGTCGCTAGAATGGCTTGTTTATTCAGAAAGCACTGGAGCTGTATTTTGTGAAATTTGTGTTTTGTTTTTAAAGAAATCGAATGTGCAAACAAAATTAACATCAGAAGGTTTTAATGATTTAATGCTTATAATGCGCTGAAAGAACATGAAAATTCATTATCTCATAGAGACTGCGTACATGTCTGCAAAACGAAAGGTCGTGCTATAGGTCGAATAAACTCGCAGTTAAATGATCAATTGGAAACAGATAAATTACTGGAAATCGACTCTTGTTTGCGTGGTAGAAGTTGTAAAGACATTGGTTTTAAGAGGACTACCTTTGCGTGGACACGTTGAAAAATTTGGAAATTCTGAAAGTGGGAACTACATGATGCTGCTTGAACTTATTGCTAAATTTGATTCTTTTATGGCGCATCATATAGAAAGATGGCAAAGGTAATACATCTTATCTGTCATTAACAACTGTAGAAGAGTTAGTAGCAATATTGGCAAATGCTGTACAAGACGAACTCGTCTACCAAATCAAAATTAGAAAATATTTTTCAATGATTGTTGATTCAACGCCTGACATAGCAAAAGTTTATCAACTTTTCGTTGTAATCAGATATGTTCAAAAAAGCTAAACGCCTTACAAAGCGTTTTTAGCGTTTCTACCAAACACTGGCCACAAATCGCAAGAACTATTTAACGCTGTAATTTGTTTTTTACAATCACACAACCTGGATCTTCAAAACTGTCGCGGACAATCTTACGACAACGCTTCAAATAAGGCTGGTAAGTATTCAAGACTTCAGGCGCGAATCAAGGAAGTCAATCATCAAGTTTCATTTATACCATGCGCAGCTCACTCACTTAACCTTGTTGGCACAAATGCAGCTGAATCCTGTGCGGAAGTTTGCAATTTTTTTTGGTTGATCCAACATGTTTACAACTTTTTCAGTGCTTCTACTGCCAGGTGGGAGGTTCTCCAAAGCCACACACAGCAGAAATCAAGTTCACTTAATTTGAAAAGTCTCTCCACTACCCGGTGGTCTACTCGCGACGACGCAGTTAGAGCATTGAAATATGGATGGAATCAGGTTATGGAATCACTACAATTTTTAGAAAAGGATTCTAACCAGAAACCAGAAACTCGTGCTGAGGCTAGAGGAATTATTTTTAATTTGAGTTTTCTTGAAACCAGAACTATGGTAGAATTGTGGGGTTTTGTTTTAGAATGTCCGAACAAGTCTAACGTCAAACTTTAAAAAGTAGACATTGATCTATCGACTGTAATCGAAATTTATGACTCACTTTTACCGTTGTTCAAATCACTCAAAAAAAGATTTGAGGATTATGGAAAAAAGGAAAAGTCCTGTCTTTATTTGATGACTACAAGGTACCGCCATTAAGAAAACGGAAGCGGCATTACGACGAATAAGTTGACAATGAAACAGAATTTACTACTCGAAAAAATTTTCGTGTAAACATATTTTTGGTAATTGTGGATAACTTAAATTCTGAAATGAACAAGAGACGAAACGCTCATGTAGAAATTAATAAAAATTTCAAAGCAATTGTACAGTTCAAAACATTGTCAATGGGTGAGTTAGAGATTGCAGCGGATGGATTAAGATCTTTATTTCCAAACGATCTAGACGACACCTAAAATACTGAACTGTTGCATTTAAAGTCTCATTTGGCTACCTTAGACCAAAATGCAATTCCACACACTCCAATTGATTTGTGTAAATGGATAAGATTGAATGACTTGCAGTGTGTATATCCAAATGTAGACATTGCACTTCGGATGTACACTTGTACTTCTGCTACAAAATGTTCGGCCGAGCGATCTTTTTCTTGTTTAAAGCGCGTTAAAAACTATTTGCGTTCGACAATGTCCGAAGAAAGATTAAATTATTTTGCAATTCTATGCAACGAAAAAACAATTTTGCAAGATTTAGACATTAATTTCGTTATTGATGAATTTGCGCGCAGGAAGGCACGTCGTAAAGTTTTGATAACCCAGCTCACCTCATAATTAGTGATGCTGTTATTATGTGTCATGTATGCCTAGCCTAACCTTTAACATACCATGTTCTTAAATTATGTGCTTATGTATTTTTATATGTATATATATATGTCTATATATATATATATTATGTAGTGATGTTGTGAATTTTCTTTATGCTATAACACGGGTTATGCATAAATTATAAGCTGATTTTTGTGTACAGAATTTGGCATATCACACAACTTATTTATGTATTTGAATTAATTAACTATTTGCTTAGTGTTATTTTTTGATGTTCAACATGTAGATAACCGTAAATGTGAGTATTTTTTTAACGTATGTAAAATGGTAACTAAAATCCGGCTCCGGCCGGTTTTTGAATTTTAAATCCGGCCAAGTCCGGCCCGGGCGGACTTGGTAAACTTAAATCTGGTGCATCCCTAATTTTTAAAAAAACATTCTATCGCGATATATAAAAATTTGTCGGCACCATATTGCACTAGAAGACAAAAAGAAAGAATTATTAAAAGTTACTGGTTATTAAATTTAGTTTGAGTTAATAATGCAGTGAGTAAAATATAGTCAATAAAATTAGCTTTAAAACGTTTTAAAAACTTAAATTATTACTTAAAAACAGCAAGTCGTAAAAATACGACTTTCTTGTTCTTATAATAATAAAAATAATATTAATAATAATAATAATAATAATAATAGTAAATAATAACAATAATATTAATAATAATAACAATACAACAGTAAAAACAACTACTACCACTAAATTACTTCGAACACTAATAATAATAATACTGCAACTATTACTACTACTACTAAGTAAAATTAAGCTCATTTCTAGCAAAATAAAATGAAGAACGCACCTACAAAAACTTCCCCACCGTAAAGCCTCTAATTTTATCTTCCTTTCTAGTGCACCTCATGATCTCAACAATCATTTTTTCACTTTTTGCTTGCTCCCAGGCTCTCCCTAGCTCATTAGTAAAACTACCATCTAGAGTTGGAAAATCATCGAAAACGATAATGTTGTTTTTGTCGGAAATTTTGCTGAAACTTTTGAGGTCTGAGTAGCCGATCTTGTACGTGTGACTGCCGTCGACGAAGAATAAATTGCATCGGTGGTTGGGATGTTCTTTCACAAATTTCGGCAAAGTGATACTCGAATCACCAAGAACACCCTCGAATCGACCGGGATATGTTCGGTTGAGATAGGACATGATGACTGAAGTGTAGGCGTGGTGGCCAATATCGAACGATAATATTTTATTACCCGATCGAGCAGTCATGAACGTATAACTGCTGTGTCCGTAGTTGAACCCGGTTTCGCAAACACTTCTGACAAATTCTCTGCTGGCTAAAAAGTGAAGTGCCAGATGTTCCGTCGGAAACATAGCGGTGTGTCCATCCTCGCTCCAGCCATGTTTGCTCACTTCCGCCGTGAATGCAGGAAGGTCTTCGTAATATTTTTTGCTGAAGTTGAATTTATCTAGCGCAGTCCCGATAAATAAATCATCGCAGGTGAATTTTAAATTGTTTGGAACAAATGGGAGTTCATTGATGACACTGATTGATGGTTCACCTGCTCTCTCAAATATGTTGTAGTAGATAATGAAGATGGTGACGAGGAAGAATACAGTCAAACAGACGTGGTTGATGTTATTCCGACTCTTCATCTTAATGCTTTTTAATATGAAAATTAATATAAATCTTAAAAAATGAGCAAAAAATATAACTATAATATACTGTCAACAGTTTTATTTCAATGTGCTTTAATATTAATGATAAAAATATAAATTTTAAAACTAAGTTTTTACTGAAAAAAATAATGGTATTATGAATAACAATAAATAAAGCGTACATATAATTTTTCTACACACAGAAGAAACTTTAATGGGAATAATATCAACTCACGTAGACCAAATAATGTTTTTAAATGATTTGCAGCGATGTGAGGGTGTTTTATTGATAAGCATGTATTTCGTTTTACGTTTTTTGTAATTCAATTCGCAATATGGAAAATACTTTTACTGATAGCAAAATTTATTAACCAATAGTACTTTTTCTAATAATGCTGTCTTTTTTGTTTATTCTATAAATCTATGTACATATGCTACTCATAAAATATAACCGCAAAAATGTTCGAATCGTCAGACCTCAGACGCGCACCTGATGCATTAGGATTTTTCAATTACAGTTTATCTGATAAATATTTCTGATTAAATCAATATACACAAAACAACAAAGTTTTATGACTCAATGGCAATAGTGAATGTTGTTAAACATATCTAGAGAGCACGATTTACCATTAATAAATGAATATAAAATTTCATGATCAAGATAATAATAGAACGCAGAGAACAAAAAATCAACAACAACAGCAATGCAACTTACAATAGTAAAGAAACTTGAAAATGATTTACGATCAACCGTTAGAAAAATCGAAAAATTAAATTGAAAGTTAACTAACGCCTAACATGCTGTGATTTTCAATAATTGCATTTCCGACAGTCTTAATTGATTGATTAATACTATATATATATATGGCTCCAAAATATTTATCAGACAAACTGAAATTAAAAAATCCGACTGCATCTGGTTTGCATCTGAGGTCTGACGATTCGAACATTTTTGTGATCCCATTTTAGACAGCTAAAGATTGAATCACGTGATTTTGCCGTGTTATGCCCTATCTTATGGAACGGCTTGCCGTCAGCCCTCAGAATGCCTGGAATGAACATTGTTGAATTTAAAAGACGATTAAAGACATACCTTTTTTTTTTAAAGTTCATTTCTTTTCGTTCTTGTTATTTTGATATGAATATTGGTTATAATTTGAAAGCGTTAGTGAAAACTGCTGCTAAAACAAGTGCTATATAAATTTTTTCTTAGTAATAATAATAATATATATATGAAGAAATTCGTGAAATCTACTAAATTTCTAGCGTTGGGTAGTTTTTTACTACATTTCTCAATATTTCTAACCAAATTCTTATCATCATTAATTATTTTATTAACGTTTGAATAATATACAGTTTTCCTATTCAGTCTAGAGTGTATAGGACCTATTTCAATTTTTCAATCATCTTCAGTACTTGATGCAGTTTATATAAAAAAATTGACTTTGTCCCTGTAATCTGCATTTATTGTTATCAGTGACTTTGACTTTCTTTAATAACTGATTCAGTTTCTTTGTTCGGGCTAATAACATCGGTATTTGCTGTTATGTTTTGTTGGGCTAATTTTATTGGTATCATTTACCTGCACTTTGATAGCACTTAGGTCGATGTTACTTTCTTCAGTGTCTTCATCGGTAACATTGGTGTTGTTGGTTTATTTTATTATTGTCCTTCTTGCCCGGAGTATTGTGGAAATTTTTTGTTGTTAGTTTATCAGGGGTTGATTTGTGTCAATGAGAATGGCTTCAGCTAATTTCAGATTGGAATGGATGGAATTATAATATATTATTTTGTTGTTGTGGTCCAGAATTTTTCTTGTAATTTAAATATTATGTTTGTGTTCTAGGTGTGTTTTTATAGAACCTTTCCTTTTCTGCATGGTCAGACGTCTAGTTAGCGACGTTGTAGTTTCTTCGATATATGAAACATTCTGACGTGCACAGCCGTTAAGGGGACATGTAAATTCATATATCAGATTGCTACGTTTTAAAGCCGAACCATGTTTAGGAGTGCAGTTGTTGTTCATGACATGGTTTGATGTCTTTGCATTCCTATAAAAAATTTGTAATTTTATTTCGTCGGAAGGGTTAGTCGGTTTGACATTTTCTTTATAGATGATTTGTTTTAAGACTGACTCGTCCGTTTTTTAGTTGGTGCTCATATGATTTCTATAATAGAAGATGATGTCAGTGTTTCGATTATGGTGTTATGTTATGTTAATCCTTGATGGCTGTTTTTTAGCAAAGAAATAACATTCGAATTGATTTAATTTAATTTAACTTGATTTTGTATGATTCAATTCGATTTGATATATCTTTAACATGCACACACAGAAACAAACGCACATTCACACGGACGCACACACTTTTTTTGCGTACTCCGTGTGTTTAATTTTTTATTTATCATCATTATTATTTTTATCATTATTTTTAGCGTACGTACACGTTAGCATCTTTTGTGATGAGGCTGATGATGTTTATACCTACTGTGTCCGTATGTGTGTATGATTGTATGTTTGTTTTCGTGTGTGTTTGTGTGTATAAAAAGGCATTAGAGGTATCAGGTTTGGATGTATGCGGTGTGGAAAGTGTTAAACGATGTATTTTGCAAATAATCAGCCAATCAACCACTCGACCATTCAATCACCTCCTCTACCTATTTTTCTGCTTATAATAAGTCTATATATTTGTGTATGTAAGTGTATGTACGTGTGTGTGTGTGTGCGTGTGTGTATGTTTGTGTGTATATTACATCTGTGTGTATATTATATCTGCCTATATTACACATGTTTGTATGTATGCATATAAGTGTGTGTTTGTGTGCATTAGGGTGGTCACAAGAAATTTTTTTTCGAAATCTTATCGGGGAACCCCCTAAATTGTGCCACTTGACTAAAAAATGACATTTGTAAAGTTTTAGCTCAATTGGATAATGCTAACCCGTGCCTCATCGAGGTTGAAATTTCGAAAAAATAGAAAAATTTTGAAAAAAACGCAGTTTTTTGTTTGTAAAATAAAAACGGTTCACTCTAAAAACATGATTTAAGTTTTATTTTGTTCATTGATTTGTTTTCTTCAAATGTTACTATAATCACTATTTAGCTACAAATTATAGTTTCTGACATATTTGCAATGTTACAGATACACATTGAAAAAACGTTGAATTTCATCATAACACAAAAACACACTAAAACTTAATTTGTTTATGAACAAATGTTATTAAAATAACACCGTTGTATCAATCATTATTATTAACAAATAAACTTATTTTTTAATCATATTATATTGTTTATAGTTGTTATACATCAAATAAATTCCTACTTTAACTCATTGTTCAAAAGGTAGAGGCTTGGATAAGGAGGCTTTTGAGCAACCAGGAAATTTTGTCCGACATTCAACAATTACCTGCAAAAGATATTGTTTTTGTTCTTCATCTTTTGTAATAAATGAGTTGTTATCTGTCATTAATTTAACACCCCTCTCTGCGTTATATGTAAAAAAAAAATTTCGAAATCTTATCGGGGGAACCCCCTAAATTGTGCCACTTGACTAAAAAATGACATTTGTAAAGTTTTAGCTTAATTGGATAATGCTAACCCGAGCCTTATCGAGGTTGAAATTTCGAAAAAATAGAAAAATTTTGAAAAAAAACGCAGTTTTTTGTTTGTAAAATAAAAACGGTTCACTCTAAAAACATGATTTAAGTTTTATTTTGTTCATTGATTTGTTTTCTTCAAATGTTACTATGATCACTATTTAGCTACAAATTATAGTTTCTGACATATTGGCATTGTTACAGATACACATTGAAAAAACGTTGAATTTCACCATAACACACAATAACTTATTTACTATTTCTAACCCGGGTGCTATATGTTGTTTTTATGTATTAATATTAAGATCTTTTGGTTTATCCACGTTTTTTCATCTTTGGTTTATATTCTTTGTTTTTCCGGTTTTTAAAACACGCGATAATAAATAGTTTAGTCACCACGTTTATTGTTTTGGTATTCTCAGTTGTGATGGCTTCATTTTTATCTACATCTGCTATGAAAAGTTCAAGACAAAAAGATAAAATTTATTTAATTGGTTTTGTGACCCACCAAATTACTGGTGGCAAATTACCATCAAATCGTCAAGTGTTACGTAGTTTGTTTTATAATATCCGTGAAGTAAAGCTGAATATAAAAGATGCGGCTAGGTTAACGATAAAAAAAGTTTTTATTTTCTGGGAGAAAGCAAGGATACAAACAAAATATTTGAAAAACTCTGTTGCTAAGCTGAAAAAACTTCATGAAGAATGGAGAAAACTACAAAAAAAATTTAACAGAACTGGACCAGCTCAGATAGAGAAAGAAAAACTTTTTAACTTTTTAAAGAAAAACTTCTTAATGAGCTATGTCAAACCTATTTGACATAGCTCATAGCAGAGAACCAATCAGCAGAGAACCAATCAGAATATTTAGAGAGCACTTGGTTAATTGAATCAGAATAGTTTGAGATGTTATCAGGAGTAAATAGGAGGTTGGTATCGTCAGCATAAAGCAAACATTTTATATCGGTAGATACATTTTGGATATTGTTAATATAGATTAGAAAAAGTAGAGGGCCTAAGATTGAGCCTTGAGGTACGCCGTTTAGGATGAAGGCCGTGCTAGATTGGTGATTTTCAACGGAGACGTATTGTTTACGTGAAGAGAGATAACTCTTAATCCAATCGTTGGCTACGTTTCTGACACCATAAAGTTTTAGTTTGTTTAGTAAGATGTTATGATTGATTACATCAAATGCTTTGGAAAGGTCTAAAAATAATCCAACTGAAAGCTTTTTGTCATTCAACCTGGATAAAATGTGATGTATGAAATCAAGAGTAGCAAGCTCTGTGGAGTGGTTTAGCCTGAAACCGTATTGATTATTGCAAAAGTTTTGTTGGCATCAAAAACGGAGAAATGTATGTATGTATGTATGTATGTTGTCAAGTTCCAACCAGAAGAATTT